GGTCTAAAAAAACTTGATCTTTGGCCAAAATTTAAAAAAAAAAATTGTAATTTTTGTTATTATTATTATTTTTAAACACAACATTATCCAGGCTATTCAAAAGTATATAAGTTTCATATTTTTTCTTGAAAGAAAAGCCAATAAACGAGCATTCAAAATTCAAGAGTAACTAAAAGTAAATGAATAATTTTTTGCAAAAATACAACATTTTTTCATTTGTAAATTTAAAACTTTTAAGATTGATTATAATAATCAACTGAAAATAAAAAGTAGCCAAACTAAAAATATGAATTGATTTGATTCTGAGTTGATTGATTTTTTATTAACATAATTTGGAGTGGATGCCGATGGTATTGTCGTTTAAAAACAACTATACTTTTATCTAACAACAATGTTTTTATTACAATTTACTTTTAAATAGACTTACTTTGTAGTGCTAACAATAAAATTAAAAATCAAATTAAGAAGAACATTTATTTTAGAGCTTAAGGCCACAGATCCCACAGAATGCAGATGTCCATGGGTTGTTTATACAACGTCTTGTAGATGTCTCATGTCCGTAGAACAACCTTTAGTCGTCCAGTGGATGTTCTGTGCACGCTGGGTCCAAAATTTTTAAATCTTAAACTCCACATACAGCAGAAAAAATAGAGTTAGCCTGACCATGTTCTAATCCAATATTTTGTAATCTGTAAATATTTTGTATCAACACATATATAATTATTGTAACAAAAACAACTTTTTAGATTATAATATAGCATAATTATGTTGCAGTACATTCAATAAAACCTTAAAATGTATGATACTTGATATTTGTGGTAACAAATAGAATTAGCCTCATCAATAATATTTTCAATTTAAATGCATATTTTGATCTGGTGATACACATTTGTGACTTAATTTTTTATGATTTGTAAGTTAAATAAAGAATGTGAAATCAGTGCTCATAAAGTTTTTAACATTTGGTTTTTGATACCTGTATTTGAAATGGGTCGTGGTAATTGTTTAACAAATGAAAAAATAGCTTTAATCAAAGCATACAAATATACAGGCTTATCTAATGGGGCAACTCCAAAGAAAATTAAAAGATCTCCAAAAATGGTTAATAATTACCTCAAGAAGGGCGTTAATTATGGAACTTATAAGGGAAGTGGTGGCAAATATAAAACTAATAATTGCACTAAACGATCTATTGTACGTCATGCTACTGCTCAGCACATGACATCATCTTGAGTTTGTACTGATTTAAAATTATCTGTAACTGTAATGTGTGAGACAAATCTTACATGAAGATCCAGTTTGGAAAAAGTGTAAACCAAAACCAAAACAAAATGTTTGTCATAAAGAAGCTAGATTACAATTTGCAAAAAAGCACATGTTTTGGCAGGAAGAGTGGCATAAAGTTCTCCTTAGTGATGAAAAAAATTTCAATCTCGATGGTCCTGATGGCTACCAATATTACTGGTACGAACTTCAAAAAGAGGAAGAAACTCAGCTGAGTCAGAACTGGTGGCGGAACTGTTATGGTTTGGGGGCTTTTTCCTTAGCTGGAAAACTTCCACTGGGATGGATTTTAACAAAAATGAATTCACAGGACTACATTGACTTACTAGAAATTAGTTTGCTTGAACATGGTGAAGAATTGATGGGTGAACTCAGTCCAGATCTAAACCCAATTGAAAATCTATGGAGAATAATTTCTAGGAAGGTTTATGAATATGTTAAGCAGTTTGAATGCACATTGGAGCAGTTTGAATGCACATTGGAGTTGAAAACTAATATCAGAGAAGCTTGGAATGAAATATCTATAGAAACCATCTAAAATCTTGTGATTGGCATGTCAAGTCACATATTAAGTCATTAAAAAATCAGGAAGCAATACTAAATAATAAATGAGCGCCAAAACAAAAGTGTATTTACATTATTTGTATTATACAATTGTGTATTACATATAGCTAAAGGGGAAATTGGTTGCATGTCTTCATATTTAATGTAGTGATTTCGCTGGTTATCCGGTTTTGCGGTTAACCAGATTTTGTTAGAATATCAAATATCTATTTTCAAATAATAAAAACCGACTTAAAAATTTTATGAAATTTTATAGAAAGTAACATCGTAATGATGACGATTATTGTTTGACAATTGTTAATTTATCAAAGGTTATAATATATTTCTTTTATTAATTTAAATGTTAATTAAATCAGTTTTGTTTGATAATATATTCTTAAAACTATTTACAATAGAAATCTCAAAGATTTATTTATTACTTTTACAACTCAAGCAATACATTTTTAAGAAAATTTCTTCAGAATATTATGGGACTCTAATTCGCTTATTCAGCATATTTTTTAAACCAATAGAATTTGTTTATTTGTAGATTTGGCGGTATTTTAGTGTTAGCAAATATTCTTTTTTATTACCTTTACGCAACAAGTTGTTTTGAGAATATTCAAGTTTATTTTCAAGTTTCCATCTATGTCCGCATAACAATAAGTTTTTAAAATACACGCTAAAAAAATTTACTTTATAACATCTCATTTTTCCAAATCAAATGTTTTTATATGAGAGAATGATTTTAAAACATCCGCTGATATTAAAACATTTAAACTATACTTGTACATTATTCCTACCTTTTTTAATTATATAATTAAAAAGGTATATTATATTATAATATAAAAAATATATATATCTTTTTCCATGTTTTGTTATAAATATATAATTGTATATAAAATTATATATTGTATTCACTGTCTTGAAAATGTACACTAACATTAATTTTTAAAAAATTAGTTTAAAACACTACGTTCGTTGAAATTTAGAAGATCCTGTATTCAGAAAGCGTCACTAATTTACCAAATAGTCGGTTAACCGCAAATTGATGAGAACTGTTATCTGGTTTTTGAAACGGATAACCGACGAAATCACTAATTTAATGCCATATGTTTTTCCTACTTATGACATACAAGATAATTTTTTCTTTCTAAAAAAAATTCCTTTAAAATATGATTATCTTTATTTAAACAGATTCAATAGCGTAAATTATTTAAATCGCCTTAAAATATAAACATCTATTATTATTTTTTAAATTAAAAATGGTTAGAAATAATTTCTTTTTTAAAAGTAATGTTAGTAGTATCAGTGTTCTTATTTTTCAACTTAAGAAACAAAAGAACTGCAATTGAAATTTTATTCATTAAAAGTTTATTCAAATAATCAGTCAATTTATAAAAGTTTAAAATATTAATTCTTTATCGTGCAAATAATAAAAACACTTTTAAAAAAGTTTCAAAACTAAAAGTAAATTTCAAAACTTAAGTAATTTATTGCACAAACTTAAAATTGTGTTTTAACTAAGCATTTTTATTTATAACCTTAAATGAGAAAAAAAGATTTAATAACAAGACACATATAAATTAAAAATTTCATTTTTTTTTTGTTGACAAAACTTTATTGTATATTTTTTAACTTACGTTACATGAAAATAATAAAAGTCTATTTGCTATTTTCTTCTTAAATATTCTTTTTATAAAAAACTAAATTTGTCCAATCATAAATTGAAAATGCTAGCTCCATTTTTATAGTAGAATAAATCAGATTATGCAATTAAATTCACAGTGAAAATAATTTTTTACAATTTTTTTTATCATATTAAAATGTAAGATTAATTTCAGAACCATTAAAACAATTTAAATAGAGTAACTTTAGTTATAATCAATTTATTTACTATTATTAAAAATATATTTTTAATAAACATTTATGTATTTACTTCAATACTCACCAATTAAAGATTGACAAAAAAGAGACTAAAATATTGGTCTTGTTTTGTGAAATATTCTATTTTTCTGCAATAGTATTGAGTTCTTTAACAATATTTTCTTTAAGCTGTCTCCTTCAAACTGTTTTACACCTGCTACTGCTACCTGGTACTGCTATTGCTACCTGGTACTACTATCTTAGAATTGTTAGAAGTGAGAATATCCTCATTTTTGCTACCACTTGCTGGAATGCTATTGTATTTAAATTTTGTAAACCCCAGGAATTAATTAATTAATTCATAATTAGTTAGTCTTTTAAGTATACTTGAGAAATGAAAATTATATTAAGGATCAGGCTGTAAAAAGGTTAATTTTAAAGAACTATTAAAGTAACTACTGTTGTGCAACAAAATACAATAAAATATTACAACTTCTAGGTATATAATTTTATCATTCTCAACCATGTGAGATCTTGCTGTTATACAGCAAACGAACTGTCAGTTTATTGCCTTCACTACAAATTTCAAAAAATTTCTAAACAAGTGATTTTATGTTAAATGATATCATTTTGTGAAGCTTTTTGTGAACAAATTTATTTTTAGGATAAAAACACTGTAAATAACAATTTGTTGATCTAACAATAAAAAAAAATACATGTAACACTATTTTTTTTACTTATAGTGTGCATATTTTATATAATGTATTTAAGAAATATAATTGAGGTAACCAAAATGTAAATAAAAAGATGCAGCATAGTTATCGTCATTGCAAGTCAGAACCTGTAACCAGCAAAATGTAGTATGTGTCATTAAATATTTGTTTAAGAATATTCTGTGCTTTAGCCGAAAGTTTAGCTGAATGTTCTGTATTATCAATTATATATATCATATTATTTCATGGCATCTCTATAAATGCTTACATTTAACTAAACTTAATTCCAAGTTACTCAAAAACAATATTAGATATAGAGATAAAAAAGAAAGAAATTATAATAATTTTTTTTTATTTTTTTATTTTATTTAGGTGCTTCAAGAAGTCCTTACGGTCTTATCACAGAGCACCACGGATGAGCATTTAATTGGAAGTTCACGCCTCCTTCGTAACCGATGTCGCAAGACTTGCCCAGAGGTGGGGTTTAAACCACGGATCCTTTGTTTCTGAAGCAAGTGCACTACCACTGCGCCACGGCTGCTCCCGTTTAAAAAATTTCTTTTTATAAAAAACGAAATTAAAAAAATATCTCACTTTTACAAATTCTGATCTTGGAAGATGATTGAACTTTAATGTACTGAAAAAAACAATTTTATGTTATTATTTTCTAATCAAATAATTTTATGTTATTATTTTTGAATAAACAGAATGGCAACATGAATAATTAAAATTAGAAGTGTACCTGTATATAAAACTCTGAAGATCTTCAACCTCCTAAAAGAAAACATGCTCAGTAATATTATCAGTAGATTTCAAGTAAAAATAAAATAATAACTTTGTAAAAATATTACTTCTTTTAACAAATTTCCTTGGTATAAGCTTTCCACATACATCTGTTGCATGACTTCAGTTACATGTTGCTTAAAATTTTTTAAAAAAAAGAAGCTTTATCATAATCAAAAAACAAGTTTAAAATAAAGTGATAAATATTATAATTAAATTACTTTCATTTGGTCTGATGTCAACTCCTTTAATATTTTCAAACTTTCGATAGGGTTTTTATTCTTGTCAACGAGAATATAAAGTCGAAGTGTGCTAAAAAGATATTATCTGTAACGAAAAATATTTTTGTACTTGTGTGAAATATATTTTATGGTGCTAGAAATATACTACGTGAAACTAAAAAAATATTTTCAAATATAAATTCTTTATAAATATAAAAAAATATTTTTAAATATAAATTCTTTATAAATATAAATTTAAAATATTACTGCATGAAATGATCTGTCTCAAGTAATGCATTTTTATATTGTCTTTTCATTTCTTCCTAAAAACAAAAGAACTATTGAAATTTTTTTAAGATTATTTAAAAAATTTACCATTTACAAAACAAAATTTTACTTTTGCCATTTCAAATTGGTTATCAGTAAAAGAGAACTCTTTGACACCAGTAATTACATTCTGAAACAACTTCTGCAAAAAATACACAATTTTATATAAAAAGTTTTGTTTTTGTGGTTTTAAAAACAAAATTTAAAAAATTTAAATTGTAATTTTACAGTTAATTTCTGGTTAAAACCATTGAAAACCAATGTTCTGGACAATTCTTCATTAACATCAAGCTCAATACTAACAAAGACAAAAGTACTACATAAGTAAATACATAAAATAAGTAAAAAAAAAATTAGTAAAACTATCTAATATTATCAAATCTAAAGAATATTTAAAAAAAGGAAAAAAGTAAAAAAAAAATACCCAAACAACGCAAGCTCTGCCTCATAAATAAGTTCATTTAAATGATATTTTAACAATTCGTTAAACATGTCAGCACATACAAAACTATAATTTAAACATGTCAGCACATACAAAACTATTTAATGTTTGTTAATAAAAATATTAAAAAAAAAATTACTAATACCCCGTTCATATTGGTAATCAACACATTTTATTTTAAACATGCTTGATGCTTTTAATTTTATAAACTATAAACTGTATAAAAAGCAACAAAACAACATAGTTTTATATTAGCACAAGCTTTTTTTTTATTTACAAAACAACTTCGCTGTGTTGTTTTGTTGTTTTATATAGCTTTTTACAACAACAATTTAAACTTATAAAATAAAACTTGTTTTATTGTCAGTATAAACGGGGGTATAAAAATACTGAAAATTAATAAACTTAAACTTACTAAAACTCAACAGTACTTGTAACTGCTGATACAAGTTTCAAATATATTCGAGCTAAATAAAATTTTAAATACAAATATATTCACGCTAAATGAAATTTTAATCAGGTATATAAAACTTAGTTAATAAAGCAGTTAAAAATATGATAAATTTAGAAATTCAAAAAAAATTAAAGCTGACTGATTTTTTTGCAATTTATCCAGTGGATAATCCTTGAATTAATGTTTTATATCTCTCTATTGATAAATATGCTTCTTATGTAATCTCTTGAAGGAGCCACAAAAAAATTCCTATTCATAAATATTTCACTTTTTAACATTACTTAATTATATTAAGCTTACTTGGTATTTATTTTTACGGATGCTAAAATATAAAACCTGTCAATTCAATCTTAAAGTTATTTTGCCACACCTTTATATTTATTTGCTTATTTTTTGTTAACCAATAATCTCTTATGTTACCACTTTAAACATTTTAGCTGACTACTTGAACATCCACTGTGAGTGTGATCACTAAAGGTTAGCAATGTATGGTGAATTTTTATCACAAGCACTACAACGATAAACTTGATATTTCTATAAATGGCAACTTTGTGAGTCTTCAACTTTATATCTATAAATGGCAACTTTGTGAGTCTTCAACTTTATATCTATAAATGGCAACTTTGTGAGTCTTCAACTTTATATTTTTTCAGATTATAAATAATTCAGGTCACTCCTGGAAACCATACTGCAAACAATTTTTAAATTACCCAAAAAGTCGCTTACCTTTAGTGATATAACAAAATATGATAAAACCATTTTGCAAATATATTTCAAAACTACCCAAAAAGTTGTTTATTTTGATTGAGACTTTTTCTCATGATGATTTAAACTTATTATAAAACTCTTAACTATCTTCATATAAAATAATGTTGACTAATTTAATTTTTATTTTAACTTGGTCTTTTAATATGATCTCTCATTTTCAGAAAAAAGTCTTGAACTATATCTTATAGATAATTTGACCTACTCTAAATACGTTAAAAATTCTTTGTCATTAAGTTTCTGTCTTTTTCTTAATTTGCTACTATAGTTGTTGCTTAATCTATTACCACTCCACCTACTATACCCTTATTTTGAGTAAATTTCATAAAGATATTTATATAAATTTTTTTTATCAAAAATGTAAAAATGTAAAACCAATTCTTAAAAATTAATTATTAAATTTATGAATAAATTCTTCAAGTTTTTAAGTTATTGAATCAAACCCAGATTTTTGATCATTTAATCTTTTTTTAAATGTAAAATTTAACATTTACTGCAACCACTCTACACCATAGCAATATTGTTAAGTAACAATTACCAGTACAACAAGTTACCAGTGAAATAAATCATCAGGTCAGGTTATCCTGCTACTGGTAAAATGTCAACAGATCAGGTTATCCTGCTACTATTAACATGTAACCTAATACAACCTGCTTCATGTCCTGCTGGCTTGTAGGATACGCTTTTTTTAGGCAAAGGCTAGGAGAAGCTAACTCCAACTTAAAACTCCCTGTGCCTTGGGGCTCCTGGTTGATTTTCTTTATGCCATCTCTAGCCTTTATGAAAATCATAAAGGCTAGAGATGGTGTCTTGATAGATATACTCATCTTGAGCAGACATTTCAAGACTTGTAAAAGGCAAAGACTTAACGGGTAGACAGATTCTGTCTGTTGACGAGTCTCGCACACCTTCATCTATTAAGCTGGCTTAGATGTATTCATAATACATTGTTTCTGGCTCAGGATGTTGAATGCTGGATATTCTTGACACGATGAATGTGTTTTGCTTTGTCCCTGATTTTATGACTAGGCAACTCATTCTATTGTCTCCTATTGAGGGAACAGTTCTTAAACTCAGTTTTATGGTTCTGAGGCCGGTTGGTAGTCAGGTTTCCTGAACTCTGCGGTACTCTGATATTTTACAACCGTTGATGGAATCAGCTCTCAGAGAGGCTGATTCCATCAACAGCTGTAAAATATCAAAGTACTAATAGTGCCATGTTACACATAGATAGTGTCCTTGTTCCTACTTTTAAGTTGCATTGTCGAGGCCACATTTAAAGCCCTTTGTTACGGCTTAGGGTTTATTAATAGTAACGAGGCAATTGCTTAAATATTAAATAGTGTACTGAGTACTATCTTTACTTTGAGTCAAGTACTTTAATAGATTTAAAAATGACTAAATTTCCAAAAACTATAAAACACAAAAAACCATCATCATCACCAAGTTCTCTAAATCTATCATTCACTAATATTCTTGGTCTTCGAAGAAACTCTTCTTCTATTGAGCTTTATTTCTTGCGAAGTTCACCAGGCTTACCTGCTCTTTGTGAGACTAATTTGAGTTTGGCTGTCTCATCTTGTGATCTAAGTGTTGATGGTTATCTTCCTTTAAATTGTAAAGACTTTAATAGTCACATGTTTGGCCTGGGCATTTAAATTTGTAAGAACTTGCCCATTTGTCATGAAACTAGGTTTGAATCCACAGACAATTTTTTTATGTGCTTTTATTTAGCACCACTTCATTCTATCGTCTTTCTCTTGGTTCTATATCGCTCTCCATCAACTAAAGACTGCACTCTTTTTGATGTTATTTCTGATCAAATGATGATAAAATTGAACAAAATTTTTTTACTTTATCTTTTAGCCAATATCACTTTTGTTAGTGACTTTATTGCTCATCACACTGAATAGCTTGGTTCTAGTGTCAGTGACTCTGCAGACGTTAAAGCCACGTTTGTCTTTCTCAATCTTTAACACAAATAGTTAACTTTCGAACTCACTTTCCAAACAATTCAAATCATTTACCTTCTCTACTCGACTTAAGTCTTGTTTCTAATCCTAGTCAGTGCTCAGTTTCTCCATTTACGCTTGGGTGCTTTTGATTACGGTTTGATCTCTCTATTATCTACTACTCATTCTTCTTCATCATCAGAATCCCCCTATCATCTTACCTCTTAAAACTACCTTAAAGCTGACTAGAACTCCTTCCATGACTTTCTTCATGATGGCCCTTGGGTAAAATTATGTAACTTCTTGGATTTAGGCTGGCATTCCAGGTCAAGCTTCACTCTTCTCTATAGTTTTCCTCTCATTGCGCTGCTGCAATTTCCAATCAAAACCATTATTTCCATATCTATCAGCAAAACAATTCTCCAGAAAACAGATGTTTATTTACTATTGTTAGAAACCATTGTAAAAATGCTTTTTTTAATGCCAAAGCCTGTGATTCTCAGGTCAGAAATCTCGTATTTTATTTCAAAAATTAGGCTCTTTTGACTTCTGGAGAATCTTTAACAGTATCAATAATAAGGGGAAACCTGTTATTCTACCTCTCTTGTATGCTTCAGATTTTGTCACCTCGCCTAAAAACAAAGCTTAATTTTTTGCTAAGAACTTTTTATCAATACTATCTCTTGATTCCACTAGTTGCATTCTGCCTGATATAGTAAACAAACAGGTTGATCCATTGGTTGACATTTTAATCACTCCAGCTTCTGTATCTAAAGTGATTTCCTGCTTAGACTCTTCTACAGCTTGTGGTCCTAACAACATAAATATTATAGTCTTGAAAACTATTTAACAAGTGCTTATCAGAGTCTTATTTTCAAGCCTGCTGGAAAGCGGCATCTGTTATCCCTATTTTCAAAAAATCTGAAGAGCAATCTGACACGTCTAACTACTGTCCTATTAGTCTTCTTCCTATCATAAACAAGGCTCTTGATATTTCTAAAGCTTATCCATAGGCTTTCTTTTTACGGTGAAACAGGTATTATCTTTAAGATTAATGAATCCTTTCTTACCAATCGTAGTATAAAGGTTATAATCGTAGTATAAAAGTTACAGGATATGAAGAAGAGTGCTGTTCATCCTTGATGAACAGCACTCTTCTTCATATCCTGTAACTTCAGGGGTTCCTCAAGGTTCTATCTTTGGCCCTGCACTCTTTCTAATTTACATTAACGATCTTCCAGAAATTCTCACATCTAAGGTGGGATTTTTCCCAAATGATACTACCATTTATTCTTGTTTTGATAAGAAGCTAACACTCTCAGATTGCTTGGAGGAGGCATTTGAGCTTAAAATGGATCTCACTTCTGCTACAGCACGGGGCTCTCAGTGGCTTGTGAACTTTAACTCAGAAAAAAGTCAATTTTTTTCAGCTAATTGTTATTGCAATAGTCAAGATCTTCCAATATTTATGAACAGTAATGTACTCAATGAGTCATATACTCTTCGTTTTGTAGGAATTACTCTTACTTCCAATCTTTCGTGAAAACCATGTATCAAAACGATTGCAAAATTAGCATCTGCTAAGGTTGCATCTCTTTATCATGCTTGCCACTTTCTTACTCAGGATTCTATTCTTTATCTCTATAATTCTCGAATTCGTTCTAGTATGGAACTGTTACCATATCTCTTTTAGATAAGGTGCAAAAACTACTTGTAAACATAGTTGGACCTGCACTTGCAACTAACCTCCAACTATTATCATATCGTTGTAATGTTGCTGCTCTTTTTCTTTTCTATAAACACACTGCTCTAAAGAATAAGTGTCTCCTGTGCAATCTACTAAAATTAATTCTTGTCTTCATTGTCATTCAATAAAGTCTCATCCTTTTACTGTGACTATTCCTAAGCGCTCCAAAAACTCTTATTCGTCTCAAAACTCTTTTTCCCTTAAACATCATTTCTTTAAAATTTGCTTCCTTCATCTTTTTTTCCTGATTCGTATAATATGCAATCTTTTAAGTCGCCTGTCAATCGTTATCTTGCTTTATAAACTTCTTCTTTTCTTTTAACTTCCAACTCTAATAGTGGTTGTTTGCAACCTTGTTGGAAGTGAAAATGTTGGAAAAAAAATAAAAATAATACTTTTCTTTAAAGTTACCTTTTGGAAGCATAAACTTAAAATCAGGTTTAAACCAAACTCTTCCAGAATCTGTATCTGTAAGCATTACAGGTACCTATTTAATACAAAATCTGTAAGCATTACAGGTACCTATTTAATACAAAATCTGTAAGCATTACAGGTACCTATTAAATACAAAATCTAAATATGAGTTCTAACTTTGATTAAACTAAAAAAGTAAAATGGTTAGAAGATCAGTAAATGAGGAAAACAAAACAAATGTTAAAGGGAAAGAGATAAAAAAAATTTATTGTGAAGATTATTATATAAAAAATGAACATTTTGTAATTTAACATTTATAATTCAAAGTAAATAATAAAAAACAATTAACATACATCAACATGATTATTTGCAATTTTAAGTTCAAAATTGTCCACTAAAAAAAAAATTTATATTAATAAATTTTTGTTTGTCTAATCAATAGATTAATTAGCACTACAAAAATGTCATCTTTAATTTTTTTAATTGAAAATATTTTCAAATATTTTCAAATAAAATAAGCAATTTAATTAATAAAAGTAATTAAACAAATAAAATAACTAAAAAAATTAAACTAATTAATAAACTAATAAACAAATTTTGCTTTTTATATTTAAAAAAAAAACTCATTGTTTTTTGAAAAAGTGCATCATTTTCATTCAAGTTATATGCTATTTCTCTCTTTCTCTCTCTTTATGTATGTATGTATGTATGTATGTATGTATGTATGTATGTATAAATGTATATATATATATATATATATATATATATATATATATATATATATATATATATATATATATATATATATTACACATATTAAGAGTGCTAGACCACCAGATTATAATCAAGTCAAGATGATGATTTCAAAATATAAAAAATAACATAAATCTCTCACCTATAAATCTATTTTGCTCAGGCAAAAAAATATCATTATTTACTTCTGAACCTACAAACAAGAAAAAAAGTAAAACTAAAAATAGATTCAAAATTATTCAAAATTAAATAAAAAATTAAAAAGATGTTTTATAAAATTTAACATTATTAAATTAAATTTTAACTTCTTAATAAATAAGCTGTTAATTATTATTGTTAATCATTTTTATATTATTAATGTTAATTATTTTTAAATGAAAAAAAAGCTGACTGGGACTCTTTCCGTGATTTTCTTCGTGATGGCCCCTGGGTAGAAATCTTTCGTCTCCCTGCTGACAAATGTGCTTCTTACATAACTTCGTGGATTCAGGCTGGCATGGAATCCTTTATTCCCTCTCGACGATTCCAGGTCAAGCCTCACTCTTCTCCATGGTTTTCTTCACATTGTGCTGCTGCAATTGCCAATTGAAACCATTACTTCCATATCTATCAGCAAAACAATTCTCCAGAAAACAGACGCCTGTTTATTACTGCTAGGAACCATTGTAAAAAGGTTTTGTCTAACGCCAAAGCTCGCTATTCTCAGATCATGAAATCTTGTATTTCATCACAAAAATTAGGCTCTCATGACTTCTAGAGAATCTTTAATAGTATCAATAATAAGGGCAAGTCTGTAATTTCACCTCTTTTGTATGGTTCAGACTTTGTCACCTCACCTAAAGACAAAGCTGAATTGTTTGCCAAGAACTTTTCATCAATATCATCTCTTGATGCCACTAGTTGCGTTCTACCTGATATAGCCGTCAAACAGGTTGATCCATTGCTCGACATTTGTATCACTCCAGCTTCTGTATCTAAAGTGACTTCTCGCTTAGACTCTTCTACAGCTTGCGGCCCAGACAACATACCTGTTATAGTCTTGCAGAAGTGTTCTCCGGAGCTGTCATCTATCCTTTCAAAACTATTTAACAAGTGCTTATCAGAGTCTTGTTTTCCAGCCTGCTGGAAAGCAGCATCTGTTATCCCTATTTTTAAAAATTCTGGAGAGCGATCTGATTCATCTAACTACCGTCCCATTAGTCTTCTTCCGATCATAAGCAAGGTTTTTGAATCTTTAATTAACAAACATTTAATCTCTCATCTCGAATCTCATAACCTACTTTCTGATCATCAATATGGATTTCGACCTTCTCGTTCTACGGCTGATTTGCTATCAGTAATAACCGATAGGTTTTATCGCGCATTAGATAAAGGTGGAGAGGTTAAGGCCATTGCTCTTGACATTTCTAAAGCGTTTGATAAAGTTTGGCATGCTGGTCTTCTCCATAAGCTTCCTTCTTATGGTGTATCTGGAAACATCTTTAAGATTATTGAATCCTTTCTTTCCAATCGTAGTATAAAAGTTGTCCTTGATGGACAGCACTCTTCTTCTTATTCTGTAACCTCAGGGGTTCCCCAAGGTTCAATCCTTGGCCCTATACTCTTTTTAATTTACATTAACGATCTTCCAGATATTCTGACATCTAAGATGGCATTGTTTGCTGATGATACTACCATTTATTCTTGTCACGATAAGAAGTCAACTCCCTCTGATTGCTTGCAGGGGGCATCTGAGTTTGAAAAGGATCTCACTTCTGCTACAGCATGGGGCTCACAGTGGCTGGTGAACTTTAATTCAGATAAAACTCAATTTTTTTCGGCCAACCGTTATTGCAATAATTTAGACCTTCCTATATTCATGAACGGTAATGTACTCGATGAGTCTCCTACCCTTCATCTTCTAGGATTAACTCTTACTTGTGATCTTTCTTGGAAACCTTATATCAAATCCGTTGCAAAATTAGCATCTGCTAAAGTTGCTTCTCTTTACCGAGCTCGTCACTTTCTTACTCTGGATTCTATTCTCTATCTTTATGAATCTCAAATCCGGCCTTGTATGGAATACTGTTGCCATATCTGGGGCCGATCTTCTAATGATGCCCTTTCTCTTTTAGACAAGGTGCAAAAAACGCATTGTAAACATAGTTGTACCTGCTCTTGCAGCCAACCTTCAACCTCTGTCACATCGTCGTAATGTTGCTTCTCTTTCTCTTTTCTACAAATACTATAATGGGCACTGCTCGAAGGAGCTAGCGTCTCTTGTGCCATCTACTAAAATTCATTCTCGTGTTACTTGTCATTCAATCAAGTCTCATCCTTTTTCTGTTACTGTTCCTAAGTGTCCCAAAAACTCTTATTCGTCTAGTTTTTTTCCTCGAACATCAGTTCTTTGGAATTCACTTCCTTCATCTTGCTTTCCTGATTCATATAATTTGCAATCTTTTAAGTCGTCTGTCAATCGTTATCTTGCTCTCCAATCTTCATCTTTTCTCTTCCATTAACTTCCAACACTAATTAGTGGTTGCTTGCAGCCTTGTTAGAAGCGAAGATAATTAAAAAAAAAAAAAAATATGCCAACTCAAGATTAGAAAAAGACATATACTAAAAAAATTGGAAAAAGACATGAACTATAAAAACATAAACTATAAAAAGAATTGAAATATTTTAATGTAAAGTAATTTAATGTTGAGTCAGCTATAAAGTTGTTTAAAAGTATTATCAAAAAAATTGTATTTTAAAGATTTTATTGCATAAGATTTTTATAATATAAAATAACTTACACTTTTCTTGGTCTATCCAACTGGAAGGTATGTCTAAAAGCACAAAAATAAAATTAAAAGTAAAATCATTTTATTAAAAAGAAAATGAGTTTAAAAGAGTTGGAATTGATAGCAATTTTATTTTGATACCTTTTATATGATATTTTGTAGCAAACCATGGCTCAATTTGGTCACATAACTCAGAATAACGTTTTGATGAAATCATAATATTAACCTTCTCCTTTTGAAGACAATTTAAAACTTCTTCAATAAGCTAAATAACAATTACAAAAATGAAAAACATAATAAGTTTTTCTAAGAATACTAACATACAACAAAAGTAAAAAGCACTTTACTTTAGCTAGTAATTACTTTTTAAAAGCGCTTACCTAAGGTCTGTAATCACATGGTAAAAACACCTACCTCTGGCCTATAATCATAAGTTAAAATGTTTCCACAAAGATAGTCATTTACTTCAAAATTCTAAAAAATAAAATTTCACTGTTTAATAAATAATGTTTCAAGTTTAATTAATTTATTTCAAAGAGAATTTAAGTAATTTATATTTAATTATATTGTAAATTCATTAATAATTACACTTAATACATTAGGTAAACTTTATTATTTATTTTTAAGAAAAAAATTCAAGTATCTAAAAATACAAACAGGGTAAACAAGAGAACCTTGTGAATATGTGAATAATGTAAAATTGTAATAATGTAAAACTAGAAATAAGTTAATAAATAACTAGTTAATTAGAATATAAATTAATAAATATAAACTAGAGCATATATTACTAAAAATATTATAAATATTATTGATTTCTGAATAAACACACAAAAAATATATATATGTGTGTGTGTGTGTATATATATATATGTGTATGTATATATATATATATATATATATAATATTATATTAGAATAACAATAAATTAGAATTAAATTTGTAATATTACTCGGAGTTTCACGCGATCATCAGACGTTACAAACAACCATAACAACAAGAAAAAATTATATACAAAAATGCAATACAGTGTTAGCTTAGATGATCTTAAAGTTGCAGATAACAAATTTGTTTTGACATTTCGATATTAATTCATTTTGCTTATTTAATAGTTTCAAAGATCTATATATATATATATATATATATATATATATATATATATATATATATATATATATATATATATATATATATATATATATATATATATATATATATATATATATATATATATATATATATATATATATATATATATATATATATATATAACTATGATATCTAAACCTATTAGCAATATTTCATTTTGCAAGTAAATTTTCAATAGAGCAACATCATTTTATAATAATGTGTTAGCAGCAAGTGGGTATAATAAAAAGATTACTTTCCAAAAAATATATTTGGTTTAATCCTCGGTTTTCGCAAAATGTAAAAACCAACATCACAAAATATTTTCTAAATCTAATTGAAAAGAATTTTTCAAAAACGCAGTTTCGCAAAATTGTTAATAGGAATAATTTAAAAGTCAGTTATAGCTGTCCTCCAAACATCACTAATATTATTAATTCACACAATAAAAAAGTATTATCTAATGTTTCCAACACAATTGTTGCAACGTGTAACTGCCGGCAACCTTGACAATGTCCTTTACAAGGTCTTAGTAAAAATATAATTTATGTCTACAATGTAAAAACATCACCGCAGGATAGTGGTTTAAATTATATTGGTTTAACAGAGCACACCTTTAAAGATCACTGGTACAAACATAAAAACTCATTTCAATTCGAAAGTAAAGCTAATGCCACAGAACTTTCTAAATATATCTGGGAAATGAAAAAAAAGGGATTTTCAAATCCTACTTTTACGTGGACAATTATTGAAAGGGCGGAACCTTTTAGTTGAATTTCTTCTTGCAATATTCTTAGCAATCTCATTAAAATTTAACATTAAACGTTTCCAAAATTAAAACAAAATATTAACTTGACTGTGTTGTCATTATCACATTTTTGTGTCATAACATCAAACATGCTCAGGGTAAAAATGATACCCATATTTTCACAGTTTTTAATACTCAAAAATTTTTTTTTAGAAGAATATTATCAACAACTTCAACTTTTTTCTGACAATTTTATCTGAAGTCATTCCTTTTGTAAAACTATTTGTTTCTTTGAGAACTTTTTTTTTAATGTTAATTCACCTAAGGCTATGAAGGTCACTAGAGTCAAGAAGGCTACTTAAATTATAGTTAAAACCCCTTTTTCAACCCTATAACTCCAAAACAGAAACTTTGACAAACAAGGCCACTGCTTGGAAAAATAAGTTGAGCGCGGTGCTACCAGAGAAGTGGTGGATATCAAAGAGCTTTTTGTCACTTGCAATATCTCTAACATTTAAAAGTAAAAAGCAGGGTCTTCAAAAGTTGTGCAGAGATCTAAAGAATAACTACAATCTCCTGTGACTCAAATAATTTCAATAATTTCAAAACAACCATTAAACTAAAAAATAGTTTTATGTTAATAAATAAGCAAAAATTATTTAAAATAACAATCTTCTGAATTTTTAAAGTTAAAAATCCTTTTATAGTTTTCAAAATTCTATGGTGCTATAAGTTTCATGTATTTATTTTTATATATTTATTTTAAACTATTTTTAGCTACATTTATTGAACAGAAAATAATTATTTTTTGAAATTAATATAATTTTTTTTTTTGCTAAGTTCCCTTTAAAAACAATAAAATAAAAACTATACTTTTCAGAGATTTTTAATTTATTTGTAGACATTTTATTTTTAAGCTGACAATAATTTATCAGTTTTATTTTCAAGTAGACAATACTTTACCAGTTTCTTTTTTAAGTAGACAGAATTTATAACTTTTATTTTTAAATAGATAATACTTTATCAGTTTTTAACAATTCAAAATTAACAATTAGAGTGTTGAGTCTGAAAATAGAAAAACAAACTATAAACTTATCAAAATTATAAACTATATAGTTTTTTTAATAATACTTCCAAAAAATCATAAACTATATCATTTTTTAATTTTTTTTTTATAGATAAACCTTTTTTTTAAATATTTAAATGGGTAAATGATTTTGATCAAATTTTATTTTATAAACAATTGAAAGAAAATCCTTACCATCATATTGTGAACAAGTGTTTCAACATAGTCCATAGGATCATCCTAAAGAAATGTTCATATACTCTTTGAAAAAATCTAACATTTATTAATAAAAATCCAAACTAACAATAAAATAAGACTAGAAAAACAATAGAAAATAAATAAACAATTGATTCACTTATAAAATTATTTTTATTTTTGAGTTTTAAAAAATATTTACAATAATTTTTTTACGTGATAAAAGCTTGACAAACAAAATCCAATCTATCTAATGATAACAAACAATTAAAAATCAATTATAAAAAATAAGCTACTGAAATAAAAATAGATAACAAAAAAAAGCCTTAAAACATAAATACAGATAAAACAATAATAAAATAAAATGAATACAAAAGCAAATTATAGATTGCAGGCAAAAAGACATTCAAAAATCAAAACAACTAGACAGTGTACAAATTTCACGACTCACAAGTAGCAACTCACTAAATTATTGTCTAATTAGTATAATCAATATTAAAAATACAAAGAACTACATGTTGGGGAAACATGACACAAAAGTTCTTTAAAATAGCAACTGAAGAGTATTGTGAAGTCAATGAAGTCAATAAACTTAATGTTGGAATCTAAAATAGCAACTATGTGTAGAGTATTGAACAATAAAGTTGAAGTTGAACAATGAAGTCAGTGAAGACAATAAAGCTAAGACAGGTTGGAATATAAAATAGCAAATACGCTTAGAGTATTAAACAATGAAGTCAATGAAATCAAGTCAGGATTAACGGAGGTAAGTCAGAAACTCTAGATAAGTTGAAATCTACAGATATGCTGTTATATGCATGTATGATATTATTACATTACATTACACTACATTAGGTTGTTGTATTAAGTCAGACAAAATATAACAACAAAAGAGTCGGTTCAATAAAAAAAAAAAAAAAAATTAAAACAAGTTATTTAATGATTAAAATTTTTGAACAAACTTTAAAACTGTTAAAAACTTACTTGTTCCAGATAGTTAAAACAATACTGTTGAATTTGCTGGTTTATGTCAAATATCCTAAATTAATTAAAGTATATAAAATTTGAAAGAAAACAACAACAAAAAAATATTTTTGTAAATAAAACATAATGATACCATGCGGTAGTGGTGTAGTGATAGAGCGCTCTCATTATAAGCGAGAGGTTCCGAGTTCAATACCCACCACATCCCTGGTAGTACCGCACTCAACTTATTTCTCCGCACAGCAATCTTGTTCATCAAGGTTCGTATTTCGGAGTTATAGAGTTGAGAGAGGGTTTATAACCACAACTAAGAAGCCTCCTCGCCTGTTTTCACCCTTGAGGAGGTGAATTAATTAAAAAAAAAAAAAGCATAATGATAAAAAAACATAAAGTAAAACAAAATAAAAAAACATTTATCAACATTCAAAAGGTGCTGTCACACAAAAAAAAATTAGACATTTATAAAGATATCATTATTTTCTGTAAAATAATCAGTGTTAAACATGAAATGTCATCATTGGTTCAAAAGTCAAATAAAAACTCTCAGAATTTCACAAATGAGACTTGGTTTTTTTGTCAGTAAAACAGCTGTCAAACTATTATTTTAAAATCAACCAAAACTCAACTTTGCAAGACTACCCATTTAGTAAAGTTGCATCCTTTTAATGTAACCTTCATGCCCAAAAAACTTTTGTCATTTAATTCTTTACCTCAGAACTCAGTACCTTTTTCAATTTTAAAATCTTCTGTCAACTACTTTATAATTACTTTTCAACTCTCTTTTCTTTTTATTGTTAACCAATTTAAAAAGTATTTGCTTGAAACCTTGTTGGAATTTATAAGATATAATTATATAATTATAAGAATAATTTTATGAAAACCTTTTGAAATTTTGAAAGCTTTAGTTTTAAGACTTGTAGTTTGTTTAATAAGAAATTTAGTTTGTTTAATAAGAAATATATATATATATATATATATATATATATATATAATATATATATATATATATATATATATATATATATATATATATATATATTTATATATGTATTTATGTTTCTTAAATTAAACAAACTACAAGTCTTAAAACTCAAGCTTTTTAAATATATATATATATATATATATATATTTATATTAATTTTAAAATTAATATAAATATATATATATATATATATATATATATATATATATATATATATATATATATATATATATATATATATATATATATATATATATTATATATATATATATATATATATTTATATATGTATTTATGTTTCTTAAATTAAACAAACTACAAGTCTTAAAACTCAAGTTTTTTAAATATATATATATATATATATATATATATATATATATATATATATATATATATATATATATATATATATATATATTTATATATGTATTTATGTTTCTTAAATTAAACAAACTACAAGCCTTAAAACTCAAGCTTTTTAAATATATATATATATATATATATATATATATATATATATATATATATTTATATTAATTTTAAAATTAATATAAATATATATATACATATATTTATATATGTATTTATGTTTCTTAAATTAAACAAACTACAAGTCTTAAAACTCAAGCTTTTTAAATATATATATATATATATATATATATATATATATATATATATATATATATATATATATATATATATATATATATATATATATATATATATATATATAGTAGAGGGCACAAAATTAATATATACAGTCCCAGTCAGCTTAAAGATAGTTGTACAATAATAGGGAGATTCTGACAATGAAGAAGAATGAGATAATAGTTTTAGATAAAGTACCTAAGGGTGAATGTGGAGAAACTGACCACTGAGTAGGATCAGAAACAAGACACAAGTCAAGTAGAGAAGGTAAATGATTTGAATTGTCTGGGTAGCAAGTTGGAAAGTTGACTATTTGTGTTAGAGATTGAGAAAAGCAAAAGTTGCAGGCCTTAACATCTGCAGAGTCACTGACACTAGAACCAAACCATTTAGTGTGATAAAGTCTTGAGATAAAGGAGACCAATATAGAGCAAAGAGAAAGGCAATAGAGTGAAATAATGCTAAACGAAAGCACATAAAAAAATTGTCTGTGGATTCAAACCTAGTTCCCTGACGAATGGGTGAATTCTTACAAATATAAATTTCTAGGCCAAGCATGTGACTATTGGGGTCTTTAAAAATTAAATCAAGATAGCCATCAACACTAAGATCACAAGATGACACAGCCGAACTCAAATTGGTCTCACAAAGTAGGTCTGGTGAACTTAGCAAGAGATAAGACTCAACAGAAGAAAAGTTACTTCAAAGACCATGAATATTAGTGAATGATAGGTTTAGAGGACTAGGAGATGACGATGGTTTTATAGCTTTTGATACTTTAGTCATTTTTTAAATTGGTTAAACAACTTGACTCGAAGCACAGGTAGTGCCTCATTACTATTAATAAACTATAAGTCATAACAAAGGGTTTCAAATGTGGAAACGAAACACACCAAAAGTACAACCAAGGTCATCATCCATGCGCAACATGGCACTGTAAGTACTCTAATGTTTTACATGATGGAATTAGCCTCTCTGAAAGCTATCACTGAGTTTGGGAAACCTAACTACCAGCCGGGTAGTACCTGCACCAGCCGGGTAGTACCTGCACCTTCATTAGGAGATAATAGAATGAGTTGCTTAGTCATAAAAATAGACACAAGCAAAACCTATAGCAAGAGTCAAGAAGATCCAGCATTTGACATCCTAAACTGGAAACAATGTATTATAAATACATCTATACCAGCCTAATAGATGAAGAAGAGGTGCAAAGCTGGTCAACAAATAGATCTGTTACCATTTAAGTTTACCCCTATAACTTTATCTTTCAACACACACATATTTTTATGCATTAACCTTTTCACCTTTTTTAAAGATGGGAAAGTCACATCAACCTTGTTCTGTGATCGCTCATCATATCATAACTGAAGAAGGACATTTTATTTTGACATTTCATTTTGACATTTTATTTCTTAGAACTACCTTTTTAAAACAAAGCTATCATTTCAAATTTTACTACTCTGACATTTTTAAAGTTTTTGAAAACATTTTTTGAGATTAAAATAAAATACATAATACATACATAAGATAAAAATATTGCGCTCTGATTTACCAATTTTTCTCTTGTATGCTAATTAACCAATTTTTCAAAGAAACCAATCTTTCAAAGAAAATAAATTAACCTTTTATGAAACTTTTTATGTTATGCACTGTTTCTAATGTTTTAATCTCTTATGTGAAAACCTTATTTTTGAAAACTCTTTTTTTCACTGTTAGTTTGATATAATAGATCTTAACTAACTATAACACATGGATCAAAAAGTCCTAGGCCTGAATCATTAAACAACATTGTTTTGAAAAAACTCATCTTTGTTGATCTCCTTGATCTTCATTGGTTTACTTACACAGTAATACAATCATTCCAGCGCTTAGGACTCAAAACAGGCTTCCTTTTATTTATCATTTACAACCATGTCTATTATGTTAAAAAAATGCACTATGACATTATCAAAGTTCTCAATTATGAATATACAATACGATTTTTAACGCTACACAACAGGACTGTAAATAAGCATCAAAACACATTTACTCTTAAAACATTAAAACCATGCTATGGTATGATAAAATGATATTTTTTAATAACTTTTTTGCTCAAAAGTATTTTTCCTTTTATTTATTTTCCCAAATTACAAAAGCCATAACATTGTTGGCTGATTGCTGTGTTTTCGGTCACTTTAAACAGTTTAGTTGACTTTTAATTTGACTCTGTAAAGTAAAACGGTAGGCCATGTTTGCAGTAAGAAACAAGTTAAAGGCATGATAGAAAACTTACTTTTAAAATAACTTATGAAGTTCTCACAACTCTACTTTTTATAAAAATTCATCTGGAAATTTTTTATAATTAACATGAGAAATTAAAAGTAATTTTTATTTCAACAAAACTAACCTTAATTAAATTCAAGCAACTAATATTTCAAACTTATCACTAAATAGTTTATTTTAGTTTAAACATTTAGCTAACTAGTATGTTTTCCCCTGCATTTCTCCTCCCTCCTCCTTCCATTATATTAAAATTTGCTGAACCTCTAGAATACCCACTTTAACATTTATTAGCATTATCTCAACATATAACGGTAAGACTCTTACTGTTTTGAAGGACCATTTCTTCTCAACATTTCAATGCTCTGAAAAACTGTTTGAACAACCTAAAAAAAACACAGGCTAAATTATAATATCAGCAGAAGTGTATATATATATATATATATATATATATATATATATATATATATATATATATATATATATATATATATATATATATATATATATATATATATATATATATATATGTGTGTGTATATATATAGAACATTTAATGGCTCCTTAATATTAGTTAAAAAAAATATTCTTCAAAAGTATGTCTTGTTTGTTCTCAAATGAAGTGAATTATATCAAAATTTCAAAATAATCATTTTATTAATTTGTACTGCCTAAAAAATATAATTTTGCTTCATTTGAGACCCAACAAGACATACTTTTTAGAAACTTTAGAAACTTATCTGCGTCATTTGAAAAATGGGAAAGACGGGGGGTGGGGTGGGGGTGTATTATGGAGATTCGTCAGAGCTCAGTAAAAAAACAAACAAACTCCACATCACTCAAGGGAAATGGATTTGAGCACATCTTTAATGCATATCTTCAGGCATTATGTTCATTAGGAACAGAACAGAAGCAAAATTGGTCGAAGCATTATGGATAGCCGATAAAGAAAAAAAAATCTTAGTCTCAAGTTTTATAGAAAATGTTTTGTTGTCAAATGAAGAAACACTCAACTAAGTTTATGTAAAGTGCAAACATTTTGCTGACAAATCAAGAAGAACTCAGGATGTTTGTTGATTTAGATTAAAAAAAAAAATTTAGTTGAGGAAGTTAACAAACAAAAAAAACTTCCATATTCCCACCATATTACAAATTGTAAGAAATTAAACAGGTCTGCTACCCACCATCTTCTGAAATAGAAATTACGAACACACATGTAAAAATTATGGAACTGAAATCACACTATATATATAGATTTTGTGTACAATTTAAACATTTCTACATAGTAGATGGTGTTGTGATGGCTCCTATGACCAAAACCAAAAACTTCCAAAAGAATCTTATTACCAATCAGATTATTTGATAAGGTAACTGGTGCAATTGTTTGGCAAAATCTGGCTCCTACGTCTGTTCATTTTTTTCGATTTATACGCATACACTTTGCAAAGTAGAAGAAATAAAAAGCCAAATACACTTTTTGCTGTCATCTATAATTAACTAAAGTTGTAAAGGAATACAAGTGGCTCAAGTATTAACAGATATGCCTTCTGTGTCTACATGCACAATATGTGTAGCTACTCAACGACAAATGAAAGATTTGACTAAAGTGTCTGTTGAGCCTAAAAATGAAAATTTGTATCAATATGGACTGTTGTATATATATATACATATATATACACACACATATATATAAAACCCTTGGAATTAGGAAAAATGAAGTCGGCAATTTATTGCCGGCATCAGGTCGACAAAAATTATTTGATATAAAGGTCTGCCAAATGCCGACCCTAATTACGAGGGTTGTATATATGTATATATATATATACATATATATATATATATATATATATATATATATATATATATATATATATATATATATATATATATATATATATATATATATATATATATATATATATATATACATATATCTATATACGGTACTATCAGGGACATGGTGGGGATCAAATTTGGAACTTCTTAAGGCAAGCTATCTACCACTACCGCATAATAATCACATATTAGTAGTGTTAAAATGTTTATATCATAAGCAAAAAAAACCCTGTTTTAAAACTGTTAGTAATTGCTTATGTAAACTGACTTTGTGTGAGTGCAAGTGCTGGCTATATCTTTATTTAACTAGCCCTAATCAAATATTAACATTGGTCATTTAATAGTGCCTATCCAAAGCAAAATCTTTAGTTAATATGCGTACTAAAACCCAAGCAAATAGCTTTTTTCATTATCATGTATTGTTTTTTAATTTTTCTTTTTAGTCTGAATAAGAATTTAGAAGTCAACAATTAAAATATTAAATTCAGTGGTTTATTAAAATCATGCAAACTTAAATGAAAGTAAACTTTATCAATTTAACTAATTAAATAATTAAATAATTTCCTCTTCAATATGGTCAAGACCTTTCTCCGTTAACTCTATTTCACAATTAAACAAACCAAACATTGACCAGCTTTGAGTATATGCACAAAGATCAATAAGATATCCTCTAAAAATTAATAATAAAAAAGATCAGTAAAAAATCCTCTAAAAATATATAATGTGAAAATATAAATAAGGAATCCTCTGAAAATTAGTAATAAAAAAAGATCAATAAGCTCATAATAAAAAATTCTAAAAACAAAACATAATAAAAACAATTTTATTTATCTGTATACTTAATTTTAAATAAAATATTTGTTTTTGATTTTTAGTAAACATATTTGCAATTAATTTTGTTAAATAAAAAGAGCAATTAGTGCAATTCTGACAAAAAATTCTAATGAACAGAAAATGACATTTTTTACTTTAATTTTTTTTATTATATAATAATTTTTTCAGAGATGTTTTTTTATAAAATTATCAACATGCTATAAAGGCAACTGTTATGAACTGTTATGTCAAAAGCTTTAGCAAAAAAATAAATAACTGGAGAATAGTTTTTAATTTCTCTTGATGACTTCACGTGAAACTAGAAGATCTTTTTATTGTCTGGAAAAAACGTAACATTAATTATATTTAGTTAACTATCAAAGAAACCTTAATGCATAAATATATTCATTAATTTTATTTGAGATAGTAAAAGCAATAAAGTGAAAACAACCAGGGCATGATAATCAAATAGGTTTTAAAATTAGCAGCATTAACATCATTAGATGTCCTGATGCTCTAAATATAAATGATTTTGTCGCATGCAAATTTATTTTGGTGGGTTAGTGCTGTTACTGAGATAAATATTACTGAAAGTGATATCTAAATTAAATACACTCACATATCACATCTCAAAAGTTCATTTATTCTTCCAGAGGTGATAGACAGAAGTAAATGAGTACATGAGCTATAAATAGCCCACCTAAAATGGACTTGGCAAGCTAGGCAGGCTGTCTGCCTAAGATGGACTTGCGCTAGATTATTTTGAGAAATTAAAATTATTATATTTTAATGAAAATTTTGATATTTCCACTGAACTTTTGTTTTGTTCCTTCTTAATTCCAAGGATAGTAAAAATTTTTAGCGATAGAGAGATAAACAGGCTTACATTTTAAAAAAAATCCTCATTTTATTCAAACGTTTTTTTTAAGTTAATTTTTATATTATTATTTTTTATACTATTATAAAAATCTTATATCAACAATATAAAAATACTGTTAAACAATTGTGGTTTTATAATAAACGATTGATCATACTTCCATTATTGGGATTGGGAGAGTAACATATTGTTTAAAAAGAGTTATAATTAAGCTTTTAATAAATGAGTTGGATTCTTGTAAAGTTTAGATAATGTTTAACTTTATTTTTTTTTATTTTTTACATCATAATATTACATAATAACGAAGTAAAAATTTATTAAGCACATGCTAAATTAAATTTTTAATTTCAAAAAGAAAAAGTTTAAGACTAGAAGTTTGCTATTCATGTTGAAATTACATTATGTGAGAGGTTTTTAAAGAACAACTAAATAAAAATATTTAACAATTTTACCAAAAAATTCATATTTTGTGAGGGCTTTATTTTGCCTGTGTAAATTGACTTACACGGGTGTGAAGCAGGCACAGACTATAGCCTGCCATTCCTGCCAAAACCTTATATGTATTGAACAAACTTAATTCAATAATTGAATAATAATATAACGCCAAATAATAATAATAATACCAATTACACAATTTTAATAAACTTTATTTTCTTGATTTTTACAATCTTTTAATTTTATATCACATGTGTATGAGAAAAATAACTTTTTTTTTGGGATTCATTTTTATATAATCATTACAATATTATGATATAGTAGTGTTGCAATATTTGTTGCAATATTGCTCAAAGTTCACTTGTTGACTCAAAAAGTTGACTCAAAATTTTATTCATACTTATATTAGTTATTCTTATGTTGTGACTCTTGTAATGTCACGCGATCGTCATTCAGCGTTGTGCAATTGATAGCCAACTTTGATCCAAGATTGTAATCAAATTAACAATGAGACTATTGAACATCATCAAAAAAATCAAACAAAATGAATAGAATTAATTAGGGGCAAAGTTTTTAAAAAAATAATGATGGGAATTCAACACTCAAAATACTACTCAGTCATATTGGATTGCACAACAGATATCAGCCATGAAGAACAAATGACAGTAATACTAAGATTTGTTAAGATAAAAGACACAACTATTAATATCATTAAACGTTTTTTAGGATATTTTGAAAGTCTAAGAAATTACAACAAAGTTGCAGCAAAGAGGTTCAAACCAGAAATCAACAAATAAACTCTCCATGTGGTCATCACAGCCTAAACTTGTTGCTTTCAAATATGGCTAAGTTGCAAACATTTTTTGGAATCGTTCAGCAAATTTACGTTTTTTTTTCCTGCACCGTTTCAAAGATAGCAATTACTAAGAAATCATGTAAAAAGTTAAGCCATAATCAGTGCCAGTATAACCAACTTGTTTCTCTGCGCAGTCAGATGGAAGCCATTTCATTTATAAAAGTAACTAGATATAATTTTTTAGTTACTATGTGTATTTGGTATGATTGTGTGTTTGGTAGACTTTTCAAACTCTTTGTCACTTCTGTAGTAATATACATTTTTCTGGTCCGGGAAAAACTGAATTTTTTCAACCTGACCTCTAGGAAAAAATCCAATTAGATTTTCAAATTTTCCCAAAGTTATGTCAAGAAGTTTGCTGCTTTCCTGAATGAACTCTTCCTGAATTCTAGTGAATTTACCAATGCTGGAATCCTAGTTTAAATCTCTCAGATTGATTAGTTTGCAATTTTTACTGAAGAGCATCAAAATCTTTGTGAAGTTCTGAGTTTGATCGCCAATGCATCCCTGGTATTACCACGCTCAACTTGTTTCTCAGCACAGTAGCCTTGTTTGTCAAAGTTTATGTTTCAGAGTGATAGAATTGAAAGAGGTTTGTAACCATAATTAAAGTAGCATGACAATAAAATAATAAATACAAACTAAGCATATGATTAGCATGTTGCCTTACTTTAAATTACGCTTTTCTGCATGTATCTGTATAATAATAATAATAGCAATAATAATAATAATAATAATAATAATAATAATAATAATAATAATAGCAATAATAATAATAGCAATAATAATAATAGCAATAATAATAATAGCAATAATAATAATAATAATAATGCTTTTCTGCATGTATCTGTATAATAATAATAATAATAATAATAATAATAATAATAATAATAATAATAGCAATAATAATAATAGCAATAATAATAATAATAATAGCAATAATAATAATAATAATAATAATAATAATGCTTTTCTGCATGTATCTGTATAATAATAATAATAATAATAATAATAATAATAATAATAATAATAATAATAATAATAATAATAATAAGCAAATAAATAAACTTAGGGATCATCAATAAATTTATTAAAAATAAATATAAGTAACTAAATTAATAGAACATTAACATAAAAAAAAAAAAAAATGAATTTTTTAAATTTTACAGACAGCACTTGCCTAAAGATTTCTTTTTTTCTGATTATATATTCAACTAAAGGAGACTACAGAAAATAACAAAAATGTAAGAGGTATCCAGAAAAAATTAAAAGTATCGCGTGGACACAGAAAAATCCGGTCAACTTTAAATTGAGATTTCTCCAAAACCACAAATGCTTTTATTTTTTTTATCTTTTTAGTTAAATCTTACTTCCTTATCTTAAAAATAGTGTTGATAAATTTTTGTTTACAAATTAATGATTTGCAAAATGTTTTGGAAACAAATTGAGGTGCATAAAGAATTTTTTTTGCAAAAATCCACCGACTTCCTATCGCTTGATTGCTAAACGCACAATTGTCTTGAACAAGTTCAAGACTACTCAAAGCTTCGAAAGAAAACTTGGAAGTGGAAGAAAAAAAACTTTTCATAAATCCAAAAAGGTAAAGCCAATTTTACGTTCAATAGCAAGAAATCCAAACCAGTCAAAGCGAGATCTAGCAAGAAAATTCAAGACTTCTTGATCTTATATCAAAAAAGTACTTAAATGCTGGAATTAAAGCATTTCATAAAAAAAATACACCGAAGAGAAGCTTAAATTGTGAAATTAAAGGAATTTGACGCGCAAAGAAGTTGGTTAAAATAATGGCGGATAAAAATATGTGCGTAATTGAAGACGACGAAACATATTGCAAGGCAGATTTTTCACAACTTCCTGGTCAACAGTTTTACTATGAAAACAAAGATAAACTTATCGATGATTAACTTAAATATATTCGACGAGAAAAATTTGCATCTAAGTTCCTTGTGTGGCAAGCAATTTGTAGGTGTGGTATGCAGTCCTCTTGTTTTGTCACTAAAAAGACCTTGATTGCCAATCTCTACATCAAAGAATGCCTCCAAAAAAGACTTTTGCCATTTATAAAAAAACACAAATACTGATGTCTCTTTTGGCCCGATCTTGCTACCTCTCACTATTCTAAAAAAGTTCTACAGTGGTGCAAAGATAATAATGTAAAAATTGTTCCTAAAGATGCGAATCCTCCAAATTGTCCTGAAGAGTGCAAGATTGAAGATTTTTTGGCAATAGTTAAAGGAGTTCTTCGTAAGACAGGCGGAGTAACAAATAATAAAAAGGACTTCCGAAAAAAGTGGATTAATGCCACCAATATGGTGAAAAAAGAAAAAATCTGTGAAATGATGGCATCAACCTGCTATAAAGTTCAATTTCTTGCCAAACAACCCATCAAGCCCCTTAAAGTTAAGTTGAAACTCTAATTTATGTAAACACATTTAATAATAAAAAAATTGATATAAAAAGCATTTATGGTTTTAGAGAAATCTCAATTTAAAGTTGACCGGATTTTTCCGTGTCCACCCGATATATTTCTGGGACTAATAAACAGACATTTTTGAATAATAATAATTATATAAAATATTATATAATTAATATATCTGTTATCTTTATTAAAAATAAAAATAAAAATAAAAACATTTATCCTGAAAGTTTCTCAAATTAAAAAAAAAACAACCAAAAAAGGGATTCTTTTATAGAAAAAGTCATTAATATTAATTTTTATTGCAGATAAATTTAACAATTTGTTATTTATCTAAGTAATAATATTAATTTTTATTGCAGATAAATTTAACAATTTGTTATCTAAGTAATAATATTGAGCTGAAAAATTAACCAAATAAAAAAAATTAGCAAAAAAGTCAATTTATAGATAAATAGTAATTATGAGAAAATATTTAATGAGCCTACTTTTTTCGCAGAAATGAATAAATGCTTCCTTTCCTTTCATCTCCAATAATGTGACTAACATAATCTGATGGTTTACATCTGGAAAAAAATTTTTTAAGATTAAAATTGAACACAATCTAATGCTAAAAAAAAAAAAAAAATTACTTAAAAAAAATTTGTTAATTACCATGTAGTAATAAATCAATAAATAAGACTTTAAAAAATAAATTAAAAAAAATAATAATAATAAAAAGAAATTTAAAAAAATGTATACAACAAAATATCGAGTAGAATTTTAAAAACTAATTGAAGATAGTTTAAAGTTTAAGGTAGTAGTAAGAATGTGATGATAGGGTCTAAAGAAGAAGATAAAAGTTTTAGAAAAATCATTACATGGTCCAAACCATCTGAAGGAGAAATAGGAGAAACTGAACAAAAGCTAAGGTCAGAGACAACTGAATCATCATTTAACTCAATATATATTCAAAACTCAATAACCCTTATTATAGAAAGGTGATTGAGTGTCGGGATGTTAAACGAAAATACATGCTAAATAGCTATGATAACTGAATAGCTTATATTTATAATTTAAATTGTTACATATAAATTAAAGATTCTAATAAAACTTAATAAATGACACCTCGACATTAGTTTGCAACCAAGCACCAGAAAAATAATTTGTTATTTTTCATTTAAATACATTATATACTTGGTTGTAATAATATATAAGGTTTGGTTATTTGATGAAATTTTTCAAAACTGTAACTTAGACTGTAACTGTAACTGTTATTATATTAACAGACTGTAACATTTTAATAGACAACTAAAAACTTTTTTAAATCAATAGATTTAAACTTTTTTTTTGTTGATGTTATTGCGTTCAGTGGAAACTTTAAAATTTCACGTAAAAATTACAATGTAAAAGTCTAAAGTTATTAAGTAAAAAAAAACAATCACGTAAGATATAAACTCTACTAACTTATAATGAAAACTTTGAGATGGGATGTTCCATGTTAGAAGCAGCTTGTGTACTTCTTTAACAGGTGAAACTACAAAACAATTATTTTAACTGTGTTACTTGAAGTGTAACTTATATATGATTGAAGTGAAGTAGCATCACCTAGCAACTAGCATAACTGATATAAATATAATAATATAATTTATTAATTAAAAACAACCAAATTAGATTAGTGAATAACAAAGTAATTGTAAAACAGTTTTAAATAAAAACTATATTTAAAAACTTGTAGTTAATAAAATCTAATACTGAAATTTCAAAGTACTGTTTCATACCATATATCAATTTATTGAACTTTGACATATCGAAAGGACTCTAAATTGAAATTTTAAAAAAATAATTAAAATAACAAAATATATAAAAATATGAAACATTAAATTTAAAAACAATTTTACAATATATAAAATAATGATAACATAAATAATGATAACAATAATAAGAATAATAACAAAAATAAATTATAATAAACTTACATTATACGGCTTCATTTTTAAACGAACGGAAGGTCTACATACAAAAAAAAAAGGTTTTAAACAAACAAAATAAAGTCACAACTTTCTCTTTCATTTTATTTAATAGCATTACTAACCTGATGAATTTCATAATGTTTTTGCAATACACTTTATTAAAGCATTGCACATTTATGCTGCTTTAAATTCAATAATTCTTCTGGTTTGTCTGAATAAATCATTGCATTACATTTTTAACTTAATACCCAGAAACAATTATGGAAAATCTGTCATAATGTCATCAAAGAACTACTAATTAGTCATCCCAAAATGTCAAAATAAATAAATAAATAAATACTTTTTTAGAAAAAGCTTTGATATAATGACATCATCAACTAGCATAATTTAACATTATAAAATTATAACATAAAAAGTTATAAAAAAAAATTCTTATCTTAATTAAACTTTGAAGATTTTCATAAATTACATAAATTACATAATATTTTATAAATCATATAACTTTTCATAACTTAATTTTTTAAATTCATAAAACAACTTTTTAAAGAATTAAAATTGACAACATATAGGTTCTCAATTTTTAACTATTTAAAAACTATAAATTGCAAAATTTACAAAAAGCTTAACAGCTTTAAACACCTGGTAAGGCTTTCATTTAATATAACATAACAAAGGATAATGTTAATTGCATCTGGTTATTGTATTTCAGAAAGTTTTCTAACCAAAGACTTTAGAGGTAAGCAGAAATATTTTTTAACAACCAATCACCCCATTCTATATATAATACATAGTGTTGCTATTGAGATTGACTAAATGAACTAAAAGTTGACTAATTGAAGGTCAAAATTAGTTGACAAAAATAGTTGATTTAATCAACTATGGATTTCCTACTAATCAACTAAAGTCAATTTATTCTAGTAAAAATCTTAAAATCCTTATATCTATTATTCAATTTATTTTTTACAGTTTTTAAATTTTGTTTGTTAAATTAATAACAATAGCATGTATTATTACAACTTTTACATGGTACCTGGTTTTTTGTTTATTATCTTAAAGTTTAAATTTGTTACATGTTTGCAATATTTATACATTTAAAACTTTCAGTTGTGTATTTCATAAATTTTCTTTTTTATTCATTCTATGCTTGTGATTTTTGAAAATACTTTTATACAAGGCTGTTCCAAATTTCATATAAACAATCCAATTGCAAACAAAACAATCCAATTGCAAACAAAACAATCCAATTGCAAACAAAACAATCCAATTGCAAACAAAACAATCCAATTGCAAATATGATTGCATAGAGCTTTTTGAGATTCAAAAATTTATTTATTAAAAATTATTTTATTATAAGTTATTATTAAATAAATAAAAATAAGGCTTAGAAATAAATTGACCCGTCATTAAATGATATATTGTTTAATAATAAAAAAATAAATGATATATTGTTTAATAATAAAAAATTAAATGATATATTGTTTAGTAATAAAAAATTAAATGATATATTGTTTAGTAATAAAAAATTAAATGATATATTGTTTAATAATAAAAAGCAAACAAAAATTACTTTATTACTTTTATCACAAATTATTTGAAAAAAAATAAAAAAATAATTCCCTTAATTTGGTTGATTTCAAAAATCTATTACCCGATTTTAGTGGACTTCAGAAAATATATTAGTTAGTTTCGTCAACAGTCGAACTATTTAAAAATCACAACAACACTAATCTAAAAATTTAAAACATGACTACAATACCTAAAAACATTATAGATAAAAAACCATCAAGCTATTTTAAACTTTTACAAATAATTGTGGTCCTTGAAGTAATTTATTATCTGTTGATTTTTACCTCTTGCAAAACTCATCTAGTTCCTAACTATAAACCTAATCTGTTAGATTAGAGACTGTTTTCTGTGATGCATCTCAATAAATCAGTGTATCGTTATTATTTTTCACTTGCAACAAAAGTGCAATTAAATTTGCTTTGCTGCAAGCAAGTGCAATTTTGAAGTTTGAAGTTGGAAGTTACTGGAAGAGAAAAGATGAAGTTTATAGAGCAAGATAACAATTAACAAACAACTTAAAAGATTGAACTGATGTTTGAGGAAAAAAACTAGAAAAATAGGAATTTTTGGAGCACTAAGGAACAGTCACAGTAATAGGATAAGACTTAATTGAATGACAAGTAACATGAGAACGAATTTTAATAGATGACATAAGAGATGGTTCTTTAGAGCAGTGTATTCATAGAAAAGAAAAAGAGAAGCAACATTACGACAATGTGGCAACAGTTAAAGGTTGGCTGCAAGTGCAGGTCTAACTATGTTTGCAATGAATTTTTGCACCTTGTCTAAAGGAGAAAGGGCATCAATCCAAGATCTGTGCCAGATATGGCAACAGTATTCCATACAAGAACGGATTTAAGACTTATAAAGATAAAGCAGTAGGAAAGTGGTGAGAAATCACTTTAGATACAGAAGTTAGAGTGATACGAATTTCAAGCAATGAATCAACCTGTTTGTCGGCAATATCAGGTAGAACGTATCTAGTGGAATCAAGAGATGATATTGATGAAAAGTTCTTAGCAAACAATTCAGCTTTGTCTTTAGGTGAGGTGACAAAATCTGAACTATATAAGAGAGGTGAAATAACAGATTTGCCCTTGTTATAGATATTGTTAAAGATTTTCTATAATTCTCTGGAACCTAACTTTTGAGATGAAATACAAGATTTCATGGCCTGGGAATTGCGGGCTTTGGCATTAGACTAAATGTTTCTAACATGAAGGTGTAATTACTGAATTAAAAGTTAAAACTCAATTTTTTTCTGTAAACAATTTTTATGGATTTTTTGTAGTTTTTCATAATTTAATACATTATAAAATTTTAAAATTTTTTAAATCAGTTTTACACTTTACTTATTACTTACTATTTTATAAACTTTTTATTATTTTAATTTAATTTAAGTCTGTTTACAGCAATAGTAAACAGACATCTGTTTTCAAAAAATAGTTTTGGTGACAGATATGGAAGTAATGGTTACGATTGGAAATTGCAACAGCACAATGAGAGAAAAACCATGGAGAGGAGTGAGGCTTGACTTGGAATCATCAAGATGGAATAAAAGACTCCATGCCAGCCTCAATCAAAGAAGTTACATAAGAAGAATATTTGTCAGTAGAAAGACAAAAGATTTTTACCCAAGGGACATGAAGAAAATCACAGAAAGAATCCCAGTCACCTTTAAGGTAGTTGTAAGAGGTACAATGATAGGGAGATCGTGATAACGAAGAAGAATGAGATAATAGTTTTAGGGAGATCAAACCATGATCATAAGCACCTAAGGGTGTATGTGGAGAAACTGAACACTGACTAGGATCAGAAACGAGACACAAGTCGAGTAGAGAAGGTAAATGATTTGGACTGTCTGGAAAGCTGACTTTTCGGACAATCTGAATCATTTACATTCTCTAAATGATTGAAAAATGATTCGGAGTTGGAAAGTTGATTTGAGATTGAGAGATTGAGAAAAAAGTTGTTCAAATTTCTGTCTGTGGCAAATTTTTAAAATTATTGTATCTTTCTGATTTCTACTGTTCTTGATGAACAACACTCTTCTTTCTTTACAGTTAGTTTTAGGGAAACAAAAGATTCCATCTTATGTTGCTTCTCATTGACATTAATTTCTAATAACCTTAGTATTAGTTTTACTTACTGAGGACAATATACTGTAATATGACAATCATAATTTCAATCGTCATCACTTTTTGATAGCAAAACACAGACAGTTGATCTTGAATGTTATCTCTCTTTTGTGACAACATATCTTGAATGTTATCTCTCTTTTGTGACAGCCGATTTTGATTGTTATCTCTCTTTTGTGACAACAAATAACAACCCAACTAACATGTGTCATTTGGGTTGTTCATCTAATGATACCTATTATTTTTTAGACAAGGCTAGTTGTCAAACTTCAACCTTTGTCCCATCATCTTAAGGTTGTATTTATAAATTATAAAAAAAAATTGTTTTTTATATATGTAAAATAAAATATAATTTTATATAATATTTTATATATAAAATTTAAGAAAAATAGAATGGTGCATACTAAATTTAAACATAAATCTGTTTATGTCTAACATGCAGCCTTAGTCATTCATTATAATAAAAAAATTCAGAAAAATTGGTTCCTAGAATTTTTTTATTTACTAATTTAACTTTATGATATACTAAAAACTTCTTGTTAATTATATAGTTTATTTGTAATAAACTGTTATATTTGTAATTAACTGTATATATACTTTTTTATACTAATTATATATAAGTATATTATAACTAATTTTTGACTAATTATATACACCTTGCTTTAATAGTAGAAAAATGCTTCCTAGCCATGTTTTCCAATGAATCTAATGAATCTAAAAAACATTTTTTTTTAGTTTTATTATTTCAAAAAAATTATCTAAATCAAATTTTTATTAAACACGATATGCACAACAACAAAAATAAAAAAAAGTTAAAAAAAAAATTAAAAAAAATAATAAATTACTAAAAACTAAATTCTAAAATTTGAGCATTTCTGAAATAAACCCATATGAACATAACTTATTTCAAAAAAATGTTATTTAAAAAAAAAATAATTATTAAGTTATTAAAATTTTTTATGCAGAACAAAAAAATAAGGCTTATGCCAACTGCCAATGAGGGTTACATCACTTTTTATGTCTTGATGTTGAAAGCTTGAAAAAAAGCTTTTTGGAATTTCAGATCGGATTGGATTTTCAGATAATGTTAAAAAAAATTTTTTTAAATATAAATTAATAAGACTTGAAAAACTTTTTTTTTTTCAATGACTTCAATTTTTGGTATATATTAATTTTTATATATTGATAAGTCTCTTTACTTTGAACATTATTTTCTTTTAATTTTGCTTTAAGTTTAATGTTTTTTTTCACTTTAACCTTTTTATCAATAATCCTAAATGTTTTAAATATTTTTAAACGTTTATTAAAAAAAAAAATTTAATTCTTTCAAAAAATGTAAAATAAATGATTGGTCTAAGTTTACTTACATGTTAAAATTGTTTTTAAAAAATTAAAAAATTGCTTGTTGTAAAATAAACAACCTGCTGTTTTTGGAGGAAATATAAGCCTCATTTTATTGTTGCTGTTTCAGCTAATTTTGATAAAAAAAAACTTCATAAAACCTGTTGAACATATAGCTAAAGTCATTTCACTTTTACAGTAGTAATCATTAAAAAACACTTTTAAGTAGTCTATCACATTGATATTCTGAAAATAAAAACAATTGTATAACCTAATAGTATATTATACTAGGAATCAGCTAACTGACTTTTTTTTTTTTTTTTTGGAACTGAAAAAAGTGATATAGCTAAATAATTATCAAACCATTTCTTTTGGAGTATCCAATAATGTCTTCTTGTTACCTAAAATATCATTATAAAACTATACTATATATAAAACTATATTATATTACTATAATAAAAATTATAACATATAATATTATATATATATATAATATAATATTATATAATGTTATAATATAATATTATATAATGTTATAATATATATATATATATATATAAAATTATATTACTATAAAAAAAATTTTATTTAATAATACAAAAAACTTTTTTATTTTATTGTTAAGATTTTCAAAGCAAGAATTAAAATCTTGCTTTGAAAAGCAAAAATTTTAAAACCTTAGTTATATAATTTTTTATTTTAATCATTTTAAAATCATTTTTCTTCATTTTAAAACTTAAGGTTTAATCTTAGTTTTTTGACTTTTTTATTTATATGAAAACAAAAATAAGGATTCAATACCCCAAGAAAACTTTGAATATGGATGGTCTTTACAAGACAAATGAGAAAACAGTTGGATAGTTCTGGAGTTATCACATGGAAAATCTTCTTTAAACTCTAAACCATATAAACAATAAAACAGTAAACTTTTAACACAGTTTGTATATACATGCATCTGATGCCCCTATTTTTCAAAAAGTTATGTCCCTGTTCTGAAAACTTTCTATTGATTCTCACTTTAATTTTTTATAAATTTAAATAGATTTATATCAAGTTTGAACTTTATAACAAGACCCGAAATTAAAAAAAAAAGTTTTGTCAACTAGACTCTTAAAAGAATAGAGAAATATTTAAAAATTTAGATAAGGTGTTCTTTCTAAGCCTATTTAAATTTTTAAAAAAATTTTGATTTAGAAATAATGTGAAAATCAAGAAGACAGATCTCTTTTGGAAAATAACAACATTAGATGCACCTCAACACCTACCATTATCAACTGCCTTTAACTCTCGTTTCATTGCATTCTCTCTCAAAAGAGGTGAAATAAAAAACTGTGCAAATCTATAAAAAATGGTTAACATGTTACAGATGTTTTACTTGTGAAAAATTGATAGAAAACTTGATAAAAATTAAAAAAATTAATTAAAATAATAAAAGAAATTGATAAAATAGTAAGTAATAAGTAAAGTGTAAAACTGATCTATAAAATTTTAAAATTTTATAACTTAATTATGAAAAATTGCTAACAAAGTTTGAAGTTTGATTTGGTTGTTTTTAAATAGCTCAATATATAAATGTTTTCCACTCAAAACTGTACTTAAATTATTATAGTTTCAGAGATCTTTAGCAAACCATTGATTCATGCAATGTTTTGGGTTGTATTATGTTTCAATTTTACCTAAAACTTGAGCCAAAAGTTTATAAGAAGGCATTGTACATTTCTGTAAAATTCTTTTAATAGTAATCAAAATTCTTCCCATAATAATCAAAATTCATAGTAATAACAAGTTGACATCTGGTGACTGTAGCAACTATCTCATTATTTTGAAAACTTAAAGACTTGTATTTTTGATCTTTTTAAATAGTGTTCTTCTGTTGTTTAATTGACTAATAAAAAATTTTCTAATACAGTTTAACTTTTTTTGTCTTATTAAGTGATCTTAATGTTGGTGTAAAATATTTACACACCCCTGCAAGTCAGATTGCCTCAGTTATGTTTCATGTTGGAAGTACTAATCTTATCACCATTAAACTGATTGCATGCATTATTTTTATTTTTTTATTCTGCTGTTTATTAGTTTTTCTAGGTCTCCATTTTTGAATTGCATGACTAACGCTTTTTTTGTTTCATTACAATGTTCATTCCACACATCATATTCAATTCAATTCAATTCAATTCATATATATTCTGAAATAGTTGTTACATTCACGGAAGTTTACAAATAGTACATGTACTAATCTTAAGTAAAAACCTTGTAAATAAAAGCTAATAAATATATTGATTAATGCAAATAGTAATATTAATCATCCACAGCAGTAACAAAACGAACATTAAAAGTTGAAGGAGTAAAATATTATTTTTTTCCAATTTTTTATAACACTTAATTTAAAAAATAAATTACACAAGTAAAACACACTATTTGTACAAATAAACTATTTAATTGATATTATAAACTTTAATTGATTACTTATATTTAAATGATCAAATATTTATTTTATAAACAAACAAGATAACTTGAAATAATCTAGATGCAACAACAACAACAACAACAACAACAACAACAACAACAACAACAACAACAACAACAACAACAACAAGCTATTTATTTTTTGAAAATCATTTTTATTATAGTATTAATAATAATAAAAGTAATAATAATAACAATAATAGTAGTAATAATAACAATAATATGTAATAACAACACAAGATAACAAAATTTATTAGAGTTAAACTAATAATAAGTATGTTTACAATAATTACAATGAAAATAATAATAATAAATATTATAATGGTAGTTATAAGCATAAATTTATTTATAATAATAATTTGATGATTTATTGGGATGGTTTCACTCATAAAGAAATCTGATCAAAGGAGTGATACCAATTTTTAATTAATAATTAGTAATAATAGGCAAAGACATACATTGAAACACATGGACCGTAAACACATATTTTAAAGCACATAGAACATACATTAAAAATAAACATGTAGAAATCATAATTTGCAGGTTATAATAATTAAAAAAATAAATAAACAAATAAAAAGTACTGATGATAATTGTAGTAATAGCAAAAAGAAAATTAAAAGAATATTTTAATTGTAAGGATGTCTAAAAATGTTAATGTCTAAAAAATAGATTAAATTTTTTTTCAGAACTTTATTTAAATTGATTTTGTTAGAAATCAACTAAAAAGGTTAAAAATACTTTATGATGAGGAAGCGAAACTGCTTCACAATATCGCTGATGATGTTTAGTGAGTTAGCATTTTAATTACTATAATTATTATTAGTATTATTAGTAAAACAGAAAAAAGTATAAGGAGTTTGTAAGAATCGCAACTTAAGCAAAAATAATTAGAATTAGTAAACCAATATCTAAAAACTTATCTTTATATCTAATAACATTCTATATATATATATATCAACCCTCGGAACTAGAAAAAATGAGGCCGGCAATAACTTGCTAACCTCAATCTTTTAGAGGTCAGCATCAGGTGGGCAAAAAAAAATTGATACAAAGGTCCATAAAACATAGAAACGAGGTCAGCAATATTTGCTGACATCAAACACTTTCAGGTCAGCAGTTAGGTCGGCATTGCTGAATGCTTACCCTAATTCCAAGGGTTGATATATATATATATATATATATATATATATATATATATATATATATATATATATATATATATATATATATATATATATATATATATATATATATATATATATATGCAGTAGGCAAAATAATTGTTCGTACATTAATGAAAAATAAGGTTTTTTGAAAAAAGCTCTAAAACTTTAAATGATAGAAAAAAATAAATTAAACCAATAGATAGCGCACAAGAAAACAAATAAAAACGATACACCATCTTTAATTTTCTCCCGACAATTTAAATTATAATTAACTTATTTAAAAGTTTTAAAAATTTTATAACCAAAAAATTGTCCGTACATTTGATTTAAAAGGTAAAATTTTGTTTATAAATGATTTTTATATTAATATCTTGTACTTTTAGGTTAAATAATACTATAATAAATAAAAATAAACTTTTTCTTAACTATGTGGCTATGATGGAGGGAAAAAGAAAAGAATATAGTATTGACTTACGTAAACGAGTAATTTTTAATAGGGAAAATGGATTATCAATTAGAAAAGTTGCAAAAATATTGAAAATACCAACAAGCTCTGTTCAATATATATGGGAAAAGTATTTAAAAATAAAATCAGTGGCAAATAATGGTGTACGAGGCAGAAAAAGATCAACAACGCCAAGAGTTGACAGGAGCATAGTTGGGAAAATCGAGCAGAATAGAAGAAAAAATGCCATAGAAGTATCAAAAGAGCTGGAAAATGAATTAAATTATCGCCACAAACAATTAGGAACAGACTGCATGAAGCCAATATTTTTGCACGGATGCCTTGGAGAAAACCATTCATCAGCATAGTGAACAAGAGAAAACGGTTGCAGTGGGCAAAGGAACATGTTCTGAAGGATGATACATTCTGGAATATGATTATGTGGTCAGACGAGAGTAAATTTAATTTAGTTTATAGAAGAGTCGGAGAAGAATATAATGTGAAGTGTTTGAAGGCAACATTTAAATTTGCTGGTGGAAATGTTATGGTTTGGGGCTGCATGAGTGCGTCCGGTGTTGGCAAAATTGAATTTATTGATGAGAAAATGGATCAATACTTATATAGATCCATATTAGAGCGAAATTTGGTGGCTTCGGCAGGAAAATTAGGACTTGGGACGGAATTTATATTCCAACATGACAACGATCCAATGCACAAAGCTGGATCTGTAACCAGATATCTTGCTGCAAATGGCATGGGTTGCACAATCGCCCAATTTGAACCCTATAGAACATTTATAATTAGTGGTAGAAAAAAGAATGAAAGATCGAGCTCCAAAGAATAAAAACGAGCTCAAAGAATTGGTTTTAGATGTTTGGTTATCAATTAATCAAGAAATTACGTCTAAACTTGTCTCATCAATGAAAAATCGTTTTAGAGCAGTTATTGAAGCTGATGGTGGTCCAACAAGATATTAATTTAATTTTAACTAATTTTAATTTAAAAATTAACATAGTGTACGAACAATTCTTTTGTTTAAACTTTTAACTCTTTTCAAATAAACTTATATAACTTTTCATATATTAATATATTTTTAACTAATACACTTAAAATTACTTTAATATTATAATATTTCTTTAAAAACTCTTAATTACAACTATCTAAATACTTTTAAATGTTGTTTTGATCAAATATAGATACTTTTCATTAATGTACAGACAATTATTTTGCCCACTGTATATATATATATATATATATATATATATATATATATATATATATATATATATATATATATATATATATATATATATATATATATATATATATATATATATATATATATATCATATATATATATATATATATATATATATATATATATATATATACATATATATATATATATATATATATATATATATATATATATATATATATATATATATATATATATATATATATATATATATATATATATATATATATATATATATATATATATATATATATATATATATACATATACAGTGCATGGGGGAATCCAACATTTTTTGAATTTAGAGATAGCTAATGTGGAGCAAACTCCAAACTTTTATATGTTTATGCTTGTGTCAAATAAAGATGCTTTGCAAAAAATTGTGATGATTGGAGGTTGGAAACAAAAAAGCCCAAAAATATTTGCCTCCCTGCCCTAAACGTGAGAGCAACAAATTGATGAAATAATTTTTATACTATTTTCAACTAGACTTATATTCATCGATAAATTTTAAATTTCATAGTAAAATAATTTAGCGTTCAAAAATTAAGACCATATAAAGTTTAAACCCCCAATTTGAGGGGGTTGCAAATTTTATATGGTCATAATTTTTTAAGGCTTTTTTGTTCCCAACCTCTAATCATCGCAATTTTTTGCAAAGCATCCTTATTTGACATAAGTATAAACATATAAAAAGACCAAAAAATGCTGGATCTGCCCCTGATACAGTGGCGTAGGAATGTTATAGATGTTTTAAATAACCAACTTTTAAACAAAAAGCCAGCACACATACATTTAAAAATAGTTATTATGCGATAGTATTTTAAACAGTTTTATGGATATACTTTTCATGATGATGTGAAATTGTGATTGAGTCATTGCAGACTGGAAAATGATAATTCCGCTGTTGATATCATAAAAGTTTTTTTAAACTATTTAGGAAAATAAAACTGTTTAGGGAATGTTTAGAGGCTAGATGCAGTGTCCACCTCCCCCCCCTAATGTTTTAGTTGGGGAGGGGGGGGGTTGGCTATATATATTTTTAAATTGCAAAATTTTTGCAATTTAAAAAATATATATTATAAAACATTTATTTTTGTAAACAAATAATAATAGGTTAAAAGATTCGCGGCTTTGCAGATGTGGCTCCGAGAATGAGTCATAGTATTAAAGTCAGCGCTGCTGAGAGGGAGGGGGGTCATGAGGGACAGTTTGTCCTGGGTGGCAGATATCCAAGGGGCACTAAATGAAATGTAGGTACCTGAAGAAAAAAAAAAAAAATTGCTGTTCCAGGCGACGTGACAGCTCTCGGCAGCCCTGATTAAAGTAATCGTTTGTTTGTTAATATATTCTCAAAAAACAATTAATGCTAGAAATCTCAAAACTTAACAAATCTTGAATAATATAATTTTTAAAACATTTCTACAGAATACTCTAGAAGTATATTTTGCTTAATCAGCGTAGTTTTTGAAATAATAGAATTAATTTGTTCGTAAATTTGGCGAGTTTTTAGTGTTTACGAATATTCTTTTTATTCTTACGCACCAAGATGTTTTTAAAAAAACATTCAAGTTTAGGTATGTTTCCATGAATGTCCGTAAAACAAAATTATTTTATTTGATGGACATACATAAACATAAATGTTCTCAAAACAACTAAAAAATCTGGCCAGTTTTTTGCAACTAAATATTATTTCCGTGGTCAGTATTCGAGAGCGATAGCTCCCACTTCCTGACCAAGCCTGTTTCAACCAACCTCCAACCATTATCACATTGTCATAATGTTGCTTCTCTTTCTCTTTTCTACAAATACTATAATGGGCACTGCTCTAAAGAGCTAGAGTCTCTTGTGCCATCTACTAAAATTCATTCTCATGTTACTTGTCATTCAATTAAGTCTCATTCTTTTTCTGTGACTGTTTTTAAGTACTCCAAAAACTCTTATTTGTCAAGTTTTTTTCCTCGAACCTGAGTTCTTTGAAATTTGCTTCCCTCATCTTACTTTCCTGATTCATATAATTTGCAATCTTTTAAGTCGTCTGTCAACCATTATCTTGCTCTACAAACTTCTTTTGATATTTTTGAATTCTTTATTTAAACAATCGACAATTAAAAGTTTTTGATTTTCTTTCTTTTTCTTTTTTTTTTAACTGTTAAAAAAGCATGACTGCCATCTGCGATGACCTTGCAAAGAATTCATATTAAATATAAACATAAAATTTTTCATGTAAAATAGTAAAAAATTACTTTTTTTATTCTGATTACCAAATTATTTTTAATGGTTCTAAGAAAAAACCTCGAATAATAACTTATTTCAGTTTTATAACAAATAGATATAAAATAAACTTCAAATTTTATTAATTTAGAACTAGTAAAAAATTTCATATTTTATATATTTAGGTATTAATATAACATTTGAATCAGCTAGCTGTATTCAACATTATTAACACATAGTAAATTATTTCTTTAGAGTGGCTGTTTTTTTTGTTTCTTTAGAGTGGTTGTTAATTTCAACAACAAAATATGATAAGGCAAAGCAAAAAAAAATATTAGTTTTAAGTCGTCATTAAAAAGATAATGTAAAAAGTACACAAAAATTAAAAATAACAAAAAAAAGAAACACTTAAAACCCACATGATATGTAAAGAACAGACAAATAATAAGAAAATAATTTATGAATCCAAAATAATACTTTAGAGAAGAATAATGAAAAAAAAATTTTTTAAAGATGTTTCAATTTTTAAAGATGTTAAAGACTATTAAAAAAATAAATAAGAAAAAAGTAATGGCTTGAAAATTGCAATAAAGCTAGCTAGTTGCTGGCTAGTCACAAGGTCATTTCCCACCGGGTTTAGGAAAATCATTCTTTTTAATGACGACTTAAAACTATTTTTTTTTTTGCTTTGCCTTATCATATTTTGTTGTTGAAAATAACAACCACTCTAAAGAAACAAAAAAAACAGCCACTCTAAAGAAATAAAAATAAAAGTACACAAATTATTTAAAATATTATTTTTTTATTTTTTGCTATTTTATTAAATAAAATAAATATTATTTTAATTTTCTATTTAGTTAGCTTTGTTTTTTTTTCTTTTTAAAACTTAGTTTTTTGCAAAATGCCTAATATATAAAAACTTGCAAATGGTCATGACCAAGTTGTCTAAATAAAATACTTATGCACGGACAAACAAGACAAAAAACCGCATGCGTTTCCTAGGAAGGCTTGTATATATATAATGTTTCTGAATTGTGATAGAGTTTTGCAACATAAAAGATAATGCTGCTTTAATCCTATACATTTTTTCACTTTTTTAAAAAATTTTCTGTTAAAGAATACTTTACAATCACAATACTATTAACAAAATTTTACCTATCAAGACTTTCATTTAGGTGTTCAGGTTCAACTTCAAAATGAAATACTGTCTGTAATATAGAAAATTAAGTTTATATATATATATATATATATATATATATATATATATATATATATATATATATATATATATATATATATATATATATATATATATATATATATATATATATATATATATATCACACTGGAAAATTTGATCTCATTAAATGATAGCTACACTTCATGTCATTAAATGATAGCTACACTTGATTTATGGGATGACATAAATATTGGCCATGTGTGACTATGGTATTGACATCACTTATCATATGTAGTGCGCATCAAACTTTCTTTACACATATATGTATATACATAAAATAATAAATGAACTCAAAATAAAGGAGAAGATGATAATTTAATTGCAAAAAACCAGATATAATTATATTATATAGACATCATTTATAATGCATCTTTAAATTTTAGTACAATTGAACATGATTGCATATCTGAAAATTTTAAATTCTTATTTATTTTGAGCTAAAAATGAGACTTATTAAACATATATTTGTAACAAAAAATAATAGTAGAATAGACTTGAAAAGAAAACCAAGCATAGTACATAACAAGGTTATACGAGGTGTGTTCAAAAATTAAGGTTTTTTGGCAGGCAATGTACTTTCGATTAATGATTTTTTTGTTTTGTCATGTTGGTACACTCTTCCTGAACATCTGTACCAAGTTTCAAGTGTATAACATTTTTTGTTTGGTTGTGAGAGGCGTAAAGGTTATAAGTGTTTTGTGTGCTCGGCGATTTTTTGCTATAGAAAAATATGGATTAAAGGATTTGCATCATATTTTGTGTAAATAAAAAAAATACAGTGCTCCAAAACACTTGAAATGTTGACAGTGGCATACGGAGAAACTGTTTTTTTGTTTTTTTTAAATTTGCATTCACTCCCAACAAGGCTGCAAGCAACGACTATTAAGTTGGGAGTTACTAGGAAAAAAAAGAACAGAGTTATAGAGCAAGGAAACGGTTGACAGAAGACTTGAAAAGTTGAAGGTTGTATGAGTCAGGAAAACATGAAGATGGGAGAGAGTTCCAAAGGATTGAAGTATGGGGAAAAAAACTAGATGAATAAAAGTTTTGAGAGCATGCAGGGACAGATACAGTAAACGAATGAGACTTAGCTGAATGACGAGTAAAACGAGAATGAATTTTAGTTGATGGAACTAGAGATGATAACTCCTTTGAGCAGTGATCATGATAGTATTTGTAGAAAAGAGAAAGAGATGCAACTTTACGACGATGGGAAAGAGGTTCAAGCTTAGCAGATAGTCCAGGTCCAACAACATTTACAATGCATTTTTGGACCTTGTCAAGAAGAGAAAGTGAATCGTTAGAAGAACCAGCCCAAATATGACAACAGTATTCCATACAGGGACGAATAAGAGATTTGTAGAGGTAGAGAATGGAATCAGAAGTTAGGAAATGGCAAGCACGATAAAGAGAAGCAACCTTAGCAGAAGCTAATTTAGCAATCGATTGTATATGTGGTTTCCATGAAAGGTCAGGAGTAAGCAATAATCCAAGAAGACGTAAAGACAACTCAGTAAGAGGATTGCCATTCATTAATATAGGAATGTTGACCATATTATGGTAGTTGTTTGCAGTAAGCAACTGGTTTTTTTTAGAGTTGAAATTTACAAGCCACTGTGAACCCCAATCTATTACTGAAGTGAGATCGGATTCAAGATCAGCTGCTTGTTCTAGGCGATCGAAAAGAGAGGACTTTTTGTCAAGACAGGAGTATAAAGTTGAGTCATCAGCAAAAAGAGCTACTTTAGATGAAAGGTTGTCAGGAAGATCGTTTATGAATATAAGAAACAAAACAGGGCCCAGGATGGAACCTTGGGGAACCCCAGAAGTAGAAAGAAATGATTTGATAATCTCAAAAACTTTCCCAGAAACACCATATGAAGCAAGCTTATGGAGAAGACCAGCATGCCAAACTTTGTCGGAAGCTTTATATATGTCGAGAGCAATAGCCCTAGCCTCACCGCCTCCATCTAATGCACAATAAAATCTTTCAGTTACAGCAGTTAGCAAGTCGGCCATAGAGCGAGAGGATCAAAAACCGTATTGATTGTTTGACAGTAGTTTATTTGACTCAAGATGAGATGTGAAGAATTTGTTGATCAAAGACTCAAAGACCTTGCTAATAACAGAAAGAAGACTGATCAGACAATAATTAGAGGGGTCAGAACTTTCTCCATAGTTTTTGAATATTGGAACCACAGATGCCATTTTCCAACAAGCAGGAAAACAAGACTCAGTCAAATACTTGTTAAATAGTTTAGAGAGAATTGAAGAAAGTTCTGGAGAACAATTTTGCAAGACTGTGACAGGAATGTTGTCTGGACCACAAGCTGTAGACGAGTTTAATTGAGATATGACTTTAGCTACAGATGCCGGAGTGATTTGAATGTCTAACAATGGGTCAACCTGTTTGACTGGAATGGAAGGAAGAGAATGTCCATAAGATTCAAGAGTGGAATTAGAAGAAAAGTTCTTTGCAAATAGTTCTGCCTTATCCTTGGGAGAGGTACTAAGATCAGTCCCATGAATGAGAGATGGAATGTTAGATCTACCCTTGTTAATAATGCTGTTGAAGATTTTCCAAAAGTCTTTAGAGCCTAACTTCTGCGATAAGATGCGAGATTTAGTGAACTGAGAATAATGGAGTTTAGCATCAGAAAGCACCTTTATACATTGATTTCTTGCAATAATAAATAGCCGTTTGTTCTCAAGAGAGTTGTTCTTTTGAAAAAAGATGAAAAAAATGATTACGATTGGATATAGCAGCCGCACAAGAAGGAGAAAACCATGGAGTAGAATGAGGCTTGACTTGAAATCGCTTCCATTCCAGCCTGAATCCAGGAGGTTACGTAGAAGGCGCATTTGTCAGCTGAGAGAGAAAAAACATCAGCCCAAGGACCATCACGAAGAAAATCACGAAAGGAATCCCAGTCAGCTTTAGGGTAGTAGTAGGTGGTGCGATGATAAGGTGAGCCCAAATAAGAAGTACGAGAAGAAAGATTTATAGAGATCATTGCGTGGTCAGAACCACCTAAGGGAGAAAAGGGAGAAACTGAACATAAGCTAGGGTCAGAGACAAGACATAAGTCAAGGAGTGAAGGTAAATGATTAGGGTTGTCAGGAAAACGAGTCACAAAGTTAACTATCTGAGTAAGAAATTGAGTAACGCAGAAGTTAAAGGCTTTAGTGCCAGCAGAATCAGTGGTGTTAGAGCCAAGCCATTCAGTGTGATGGGCATTAAAATCACCAACAACAACAATATTGGCAGAGGGGTAAAGAGAGAGGGCATGGTCAATTTGATCAGAGATAACATCTAAAAGAGTGCAATCATGGGAAGAAGGAGAACGATAAAGAACAAAGAGAAAGGTGATAGAGTGAAGAGGTGCTAGGCGAAAGCACATAAAAGAATGGTCAAAGGATTCGAACCTGATTTCACGACAAATAGGGGAATTAAAGCATATATATACCCCTAAACCTAGCATGTGACTATTGGAGTCTTTACGAATCAAAGGATAGTACCCATCAACACTGACATCTGAAGAAGGAATTGCAGAACTTAAATTTGTTTCACTGAGTGCAAGCAAGTCTGGTGAGTTTTGCAGGAGGTAAGACTCAACTGATGGAAAGTTGCTTCGTAGACCGAGAATATTTGTAAAAGATATATTAAAATATTTATGTGGTGTGGATGGTTTTTTAGGTTTTAAATTTTTGGTTACTTTGGTCATGATTTGGGTTTAATGAGAACTTGACTCATTCATAGATAGAGCACAGCCTTCTAATCAATGAGCTATGCAGTTGTCTCAGTCCTGTTAATTAACCCTAAGCCGTGACATAGGGCTCCTTATGTGGCCTTGACAATGCACACCAAAAGCATTAACAGGGACACCATCTATGCGCAACATGGCACTGTTAATACTCTGATATTTTGCAGCTGTTGATGGAATCAGCCTCTCTGAGAGTTTCAACAGAGTTCGGGAAACCTTACTACCAGCCGGCCTCAGAACCATTAAACTGAGTTTTAGAGCTGTACCCTCATATGGAGATAACAGGAAGAGTTGCATAGCCATTATCAAGGAGGCATAAGGAAAATTCTATGAGTAGAGTCAAGGAGATCCAGCATTCATCATCCTAGGCAGGAAACAATGTAACACAGGTTAAATATACGCCAGCCTAATAGATGAAGAAGGGGTTCGAGGCTGGTTAGCAGAATTTTTCTGCTTACCCCTAAAGTCTTTGCCTAGGAGGCCTTCTACAAGACAGTAGTTGGATGCAGTTAACATCTGCCCAAGATGAGTATTTTTAACGAGACACCATCTCTGGTGTCTCGATAAAAATACTCACCTTTACTCAACCAATAGCCCCAAGGTAGGGGATGTTTAGCTGGATGCAGTTAACATCTGCCCAAGATAAGTGTTTTTATTGAGACACCATCTCTAGCCTTTACTGAACCAAGAGCCCAAAGTCAGGGGAATTTTTCTGTTCTGAGTAAAAAAAATGTTTTCAAGTGGTACAAACTCTTTCAAGATGGCCGGGAAGATGCCATTTACGAGCCTCGCTCTGGACGCCTAACCACGTCAACAACTGATGAAAACGTTCAAGCAGTGAAGAAAATTGTTTTGGAAAATCGTCAAATCACTATTAGAGAAGTTGCTGATGATGTTGGTATATCGCTTGGCTCGTGCCATTGGGGCTAAAATTTTTTCTAATGTTTTGGGCATAAGACGTGTGTCAGCGAAGTTTGTTCCGAAATTGCTCAATTTTGACCAAATGAACCGTCGCATGAGCATCGCTCAAGAACTGTTGAATGATGTCAACGACAACCCAGACATACTCAAAAGAGTCATAACTGGTGACGAATCATGGGTATATGGTTATGATACCAAAACCAAAGCCCAGTTGTCCCAATGGATAACCCCAGGTGAGCCAAGACCGAAAAAAGCACGCCAAGTTTGATCAAATGCCAAAGTTTTGCTCAGTGTTTTCTTCCATGGCATTACCATGGCATGATGCATCAGGAGTTCTTATCATATAGTTCTACGGTCAATAAACAGTATTATCTTGAAGTTATGCGCCGTTTGCGAGAAGCAATACGAAGAAAACGTCCAGAATTGTGGAAAAACAACTCATGGCTTTTGCATCACGATAATCCCCCTGCTCACTCATCTATGTTTGTGAGAGATTTTTTGGCCAAAACAACACCACAATCATGCCTCAGCCACCATATTCACCGCATTTGACCCCATGTGACTTTTTCTTGTTCCCAAAACTAAAGAGACCTATGAAAGGACAGAGATTTGCAACGATTGAAGAGATAAAGACTGCATCGCTGGAAGAGCTCAAGGCTATACCGAAAAGTGCTTATGAGAAGTGCTTTGAGGATTGGAAAAACCGTTGGCATAAGTGTAGATACAATTATCTGAGGGGGATTACTTTGAGGAGGACAAAATAAATATTGATAAATAAATATTTTTTCTTAAAAATACTAAGTCACCTTATTTTTTGGACACATCTTGTTTAAACATTATCAACTGTATGTTTACAGCAACAAAATTTAAAATTATAAAAGTATTTTTATGTTTAATTATGATTGGCACACTTTTTTTGTTTATAAGCATACAAGTTGTTCCTTTTATAGAGTTGGGTGATTATTTATAATAGTAATTTTTAGTATTTTTACATTTTTAGTTTTAAAGTTATAAAACTATATTTCCATGCATTAAAAACTGTATCAAATTAATTGTTTTATATTGTATTATAGTTGGTATAACCCGGCATATAAAGATCATTAGAAGATTGATACCCTTTTTAGCGGTTACCTACAGCTTCATTTCCAGTGGAAGCATTCATTGAACCTCCATGAGAATTTAAGAAGATGTCAAACTCATTTTCGTTAGGATATTTTTCACTTCCCATAAAAACCACTAAATTAAAAAAGTAAATATAGCAATTGGAAATTCAAAAATAACAAAAAAAATAACAGTCAAATATGTTGTAATGACATATTTTTTGTAATAATTATATTATACAAAATCAAACATAGCACTATATTTATATGAACCAAAAAAAGTTTTTTAGTTTTATTTAGGTAACTTGGCAAAGATAAATTTAAAAAAAAAAGAATAGCTAGGATGTTATTTATCACAAAACAATTAATAAAAAACCAAATTTGCAGTCAAAAGGATGATATTATTTTTGACAAAATAATTTTAGTTTATTAAGCAACAATAAGTATCAGAGAAATTTAAGCACAGCGTATACTTCATTAAAGCACAGCATATACTTCATTAAAGCACAGCGTATACTTCATTAAAACACAGCGTATATTTCATTAAAGCAAAACGTATACTTCATTAAAACACAGCGTATACTTCATTAAAACACAGCGCATACTTCATTAAAACACAGCGTATACTTCATTAAAACACAGCGTATACTTCATTAAAACACAGCGTATACTTCATTAAAACACAGCGTATACTTCATTAAAACACAGCATATACTTTATTAAAGCACAACAATACTTCATTAAAGTAATATCAGCATATACTTCATTAAATTAATATCAATAATAAATCAAAACTTGCTAACGCAACAGAATAGAACCATATACAACACAAGTATTTACAAGTTACACTCAAAAATTTTGATTTGAATTTGGTTCTACTTTCTTCTCAACCCAACTGTTAATAATAATTGTTTTATTAACTTATATATTAGTTTGATACTTTTCTATAAAAGAGTAGATAAAATTTATTTATGATGTCCAGTTTGGCCATATATTTAAAGCCTTTTTAAGGATTTTGATAAGACTTAAAAGTTAAGAAACATACAAATGGATCGAATAGCAGTAAGTGAAGCAACTAAGTGGCAAATAATAGGTATGAAGGATGGCTCAATGATAGAGAAATAGCAAGAAAATTAAAAATTTCAGAGAAGTGTGTCACAAAACAACAGATGGTGTCCAAGGTCATACAGAATCAGGAAAGTTAAAAAAACTACTAAGCGCCAAAATAGCCAGTATTTTTTTTAACTTTTTTTAACAAAATAATATAA